GTTTTTGTTGTTTCAAAAACAGGAGCTCTGTTTGAATAGAGGGAAACGTCATTTTGTTGTGTTGATACTTCCCCGGGGTGATTTGTTGAATTTTCAGGGGGGAAAAAAAGTGAGGAATTGGGGTAAATAAATTTTGCTTGATGAATTCAGGATTTGTTGGCGAGAGACAATGGGACGAAATGGACGGATTTATTTTCGGGGAACAGGGCTTTGATGTTGGTACATGACTGGGGGGAATTGATTGTTCAATATTTGTGGGAGAATGTTTTTTTGGGGAACACAGTAGTTCTGAATGATGTTTTTGAGGGGTTTTTGGAGTTTTTGGGGGTGAGAGAAGTCGTTAAATATTTTTATCTTGATTTTTTTTTCTCTTGGAGGGACTCAGTCCACGTTGAATACAAATTCCTGAGAATTTTTTAATTATTGGAATTTTTATTTATGACCCCCCAAGATCCTTATTCTGACCCTTGTGACCCTTAATCTGACCCTTGTGGCCCTTATTTTGAACCTCATGACCCTTAATTTCGGCATCTTAATTTCGACTACCAAATTTTCATCACCAGAAGTCGATTTGGATAATTATAACATAGAGATTTTAATTTCATGAATAATTAGAGGAAATGATATTTGATATTGATTTAAGTTAATGGTCGAATGACGTTGGGAAACAATTCTGAAGAAAATTTTATTATCTACAAAAAACCCTTAAAACAATTTCGTCCGCCGATAATCACTAAATTAATGAAGAACACGAGAGTTTAATTTTATCCCACTTTCCCTCAATCAAATTATTCTGTCCGCCAAAAAATACGACCAAGGGGTAAATTTTATGCAACTATATAGTGAAGTCCATGATCATATATCGAGGAGACAGGGCTAGCCCTGCAGCTGAACGTGATATGGAAACTAACGAGGGACTTTAATAATTTAAAGTTTCGGGTTAATTACCTCACCAAGGCAGTAACTAACAAGTCTCCTCTTGCCGATGCCAGAAACCCTCTCATACCCCTCTTCTTCTCCAGTACTTTACTTCAAATTCTTGCTGTGCGTCCTTATGGTCGATCTATCGTCCAAAATCTCATTATACCTCATCACGTAATCCCTTCCTTACTGTTCTCAAGGTATAAGAACAAAAAAAAAGATTCATTGATTAACTGCATTACGTCAGTCGTGTCCTCGTTCTTGTCTTTAATTTGAAATGAAATTCCTGGGGTTGATGGAAAAAAATTCAATTAGTTCAGCGAGACCGAGCGTTTCACCGAGGATATCACAATATTATTAACTGAGGGAAGATGAAAACGTTCCTAATTTAGTATTTGTTCAGGAAATGAGTTATTTCACCGAGATATGTCAAGCATATCATTGTTTTTTGGTGTCCATCGAATTTCTTGCGAGAGAGACCGCTCGATAATTTCCTTCAACTCTAATTATGAGTGAAATTCTGCAGTTACTTAGTGGAAGAAATAAATGAAAATGAGTAACGGAGATATTCAAAGAAACTTATTTTTACCGATTATTCTCACACAATTCAATCATCAATCCTGATGGTGAGAGAGATCTCAATATCCTCAGTTGAGAAACACATTTTCCTCTCGAAATAATGCAACAATATTTCATCAATGCCCACTCAAACTCAAACAACCAATGAATGAAGAAGCAAGTCCGTGCCTTCGCATACCCCAGAGCAATCGTCTGCTGTCTGACCCTATTCCCGTTTTATCCGAATATTTTTTTTTAAATTGTTTCAAGAGGAATGCATGCAAATCTTCGTCACGCTAACGAATGGCAAATCACGAATACTATTTGACCTGGGGGATTAAAATACCTAGAGACCTGTATCGAGTACCTGTCGAGCTACAATTTCCTCGAGAGAGTTCGAGGAGGAGGGAGGGGGATAAAAATAGCAGAGTGAGGGAAAAAAAATTTCCAAACTCTGCCAAATGTTTTTTGGAGGCTCGAGGGAGTCGTTACGTCGATCTTATTAGAGAAGTTGCTGGAGGAGTGAATAATCGATAGGTTGAGACTTTAGGCTTTTATTATTTTTATTCACTCACTCATTGTGGTACTCTTCAAGTTCCCCCCGTTGTTCACACTCGAAGCATGCATTTATAATCTTAACAAGTGGACAATAGTATGTTTTTAATAAATGTATTGTAAGACGGGCTATCCAGAACTATCAACAGTATGTGGGAAAAGTAAAAAATGTTTTTACCTGGGGCCAAAAGTGTCATATCTGGGATTTTTTCAGGGGAAAAGTCAACTTTCGCCAAAATCGACTTTTTTAGCCGAGTGAGAGGGGATTCCGACTATTTGAGGAACGGGCTATCCAGAACTATCAACAGTATAGGGGAAAAGTCAAAAATGAAAAAAAAAAATTTTCGCCTGGGGCCAAAAGTGTCATATCTGGGATTTTTTCAGGGGAAAAGTCAACTTTCGCCAAAATCGACTTTTTTAGCCGAGTGAGAGGGGATTCCGACTATTTGAGGAACGGGCTATCCAGAACTATCAACAGTATAGGGGAAAAGTCAAAAATGAAAAAAAAAAATTTTCGCCTGGGGCCAAAAGTGTCATATCTGGGATTTTTTCAGGGGAAAAGTCAACTTTCGCCAAAATCGACTTTTTTAGCCGAGTGAGAGGGGATTCCGACTATTTGAGGAACGGGCTATCCAGAACTATCAACAGTATAGGGGAAAAGTCAAAAATGAAAAAAAAAAATTTTCGCCTGGGGCCAAAAGTGTCATATCTGGGATTTTTTCAGGGGAAAAGTCAACTTTCGCCAAAATCGACTTTTTTAGCCGAGTGAGAGGGGATTCCGACTATTTGAGGAACGGGCTATCCAGAACTATCAACAGTATAGGGGAAAAGTCAAAAATGAAAAAAAAAAATTTTCGCCTGGGGCCAAAAGTGTCATATCTGGGATTTTTTCAGGGGAAAAGTCAACTTTCGCCAAAATCGACTTTTTTAGCCGAGTGAGAGGGGATTCCGACTATTTGAGGAACGGGCTATCCAGAACTATCAACAGTATAGGGGAAAAGTCAAAAATGAAAAAAAAAAATTTTCGCCTGGGGCCAAAAGTGTCATATCTGGGATTTTTTCAGGGGAAAAGTCAACTTTCGCCAAAATCGACTTTTTTAGCCGAGTGAGAGGGGATTCCGACTATTTGAGGAACGGGCTATCCAGAACTATCAACAGTATAGGGGAAAAGTCAAAAATGAAAAAAAAAAATTTTCGCCTGGGGCCAAAAGTGTCATATCTGGGATTTTTTCAGGGGAAAAGTCAACTTTCGCCAAAATCGACTTTTTTAGCCGAGTGAGAGGGGATTCCGACTATTTGAGGAACGGGCTATCCAGAACTATCAACAGTATAGGGGAAAAGTCAAAAATGAAAAAAAAAAATTTTCGCCTGGGGCCAAAAGTGTCATATCTGGGATTTTTTCAGGGGAAAAGTCAACTTTCGCCAAAATCGACTTTTTTAGCCGAGTGAGAGGGGATTCCGACTATTTGAGGAACGGGCTATCCAGAACTATCAACAGTATAGGGGAAAAGTCAAAAATGAAAAAAAAAAATTTTCGCCTGGGGCCAAAAGTGTCATATCTGGGATTTTTTCAGGGGAAAAGTCAACTTTCGCCAAAATCGACTTTTTTAGCCGAGTGAGAGGGGATTCCGACTATTTGAGGAACGGGCTATCCAGAACTATCAACAGTATAGGGGAAAAGTCAAAAATGAAAAAAAAAAATTTTCGCCTGGGGCCAAAAGTGTCATATCTGGGATTTTTTCAGGGGAAAAGTCAACTTTCGCCAAAATCGACTTTTTTAGCCGAGTGAGAGGGGATTCCGACTATTTGAGGAACGGGCTATCCAGAACTATCAACAGTATAGGGGAAAAGTCAAAAATGAAAAAAAAAAATTTTCGCCTGGGGCCAAAAGTGTCATATCTGGGATTTTTTCAGGGGAAAAGTCAACTTTCGCCAAAATCGACTTTTTTAGCCGAGTGAGAGGGGATTCCGACTATTTGAGGAACGGGCTATCCAGAACTATCAACAGTATGTGGGAAAAGTAAAAAATGTTTTTACCTGGGGCCAAAAGTGTCATATCTGGGATTTTTTCAGGGGAAAAGTCAACTTTCGCCAAAATCGACTTTTTTAGCCGAGTGAGAGTGGATTCCGACTATTTGAGGAACGGGCTATCCAGAACTATCAACAGTATGGGGGAAAAGTCAAAAATGAAAAAAAAAATTTTTCACCTGGGGCCAAAAGTGTCATATCTGGGATTTTTTCAGGGGAAAAGTCAACTTTCGCCAAAATCGATTTTTTTCCCCGCGTGAAAGTCGATTCCGATTATTTGAGGGATGGGCTATCCAGAACTATCAATAGTATGGGGGGAAAGTCAAAAATGAAAAAAAAATTTTTTCACCTCGGGCCAAAAGTGTCAGATCTTAGATTTTTTCAGGGGAAAAGTCAACTTTCGCCAAAATCGATTTTTTTCCCCGCGTGAAAGTCGATTCCGATTATTTGAGGGATGGGCTATCCAGAACTATCAACAGTATGGGGGAAAAGTCAAAAACGAAAAAAAAAATTTTCACCTGAGGCCAAAAGTGTCAGATCTTCGATTTTTTCAAGGGAAAAGTTGATTTCCGGCAAAATCGAATTTGTTCGACGAGTGAAAGCCGATTCTACGCGACCCCCTTTACCTAGAGCAATTGAATATATACCCGTTCATTCAAAGTTTTCAAGACATTCCCGTTTTGCTTTTTTTTCAACTTCAATTTTGAACAAAATCTTCTATCATTACAAAGATTCGTATTGAAGATGGGCTCAATTTTTCGATTTTTGCACAAGCTAGAGGGCGCATAACGATTTTTATGAAAAAAATAAAAACAGCAATATTCCGAGAACTTTGACTGAATATAGGTATACACGTTTTGCCACTGAGATCCTCCAAAAGGCTTTCAAATTATTCGAAATCCCCCAAATTCCAAAGAAAATTATTTCAATTCACTCACCCTTAATCGCAGATCGTTGACACTCCACACCCGGCTGGCAAAATCATTAGAAGCTCCGAGGATTAAAGTTCCAGTTGAGTCGAAATCCACAGACATAACACTAGCATTACTACCCACCAGCATTCCCTTGCTCTCGTACGAACCTGCATCCAAATAACATCATAACCATCGCAACGAAATCCCTGGTAATTCGCCCCCCAAAATAGTTTCTCAACGTGTAACAATGATAATTGAAGCCCCTGAGTGAGCTACAAAATTTCACAATGACACAAATATTTTACCTTTGGATATGTCCCACAGTTTGACTTTCCTATCTGCACCACCAGTTGCTAATATTCTATCTACTGGGGACCACTTTACAGCACTAACTTCACCATCGTGAGCACTCTGAAAGTTTAATTCATATTGAAAACAACATTTCCACATGCCTGCATAAATAACAGGAATGACTCAGAGGAGAATGTGGATTTTGTGGGAAATGATGAAATAATTATGTGCACGTACAAATTTTATGTAGACGTTGGAGGGAACTGCTGTTGTTATACCGAGACCATCTTTCAGGCTCAGTCTGTCAGGGCTGATTGCTCTCGTGTCTCTGGCTGCATCCTCCAGGTCTTTCTGGACTTTTGCTTGTCTTTTTCTGAATGGAAATTATGAGTTATTTTTTGTTTATTGAGGTGAGGAGAGAGGGCACAATTCAGGATGCTTGTGGAGAATAGAGAGAAAGGGAATTTTAGGCGCTTTTATCGCATGAGGAAATCATGTTCGAGAAAAGTTAATAGATGTTGATGTTTCGATGTAACTTTTTCCGTTGGAATTTCTTTATGAGAAGAATTCTGGGCATAAATTTCCTCATTTTTTCGGATTTTGATATGAGGGAAACAAAAAAATTCAGCGAAAAAATAGAACATCCATTCAATTTTTCTGAATTTCATATTCTCAAATATATTCATTAAATAATAACAAAAAATAAAAATTCAACTAGCTTCATCACTTGCCTACTGTTTCCAAATAAAATTTCATGTCAATAAGCAATCACACACTCCAGAAAAAATAATTCCTTCAATGAAAGTCTCTTGATAAATTTTTTCGAACTTCACATTTTCGAAGGTTAATTAAATAATAACAAAAAATGAAAATTCGACCCCTTCCACCAGTTGTACCGTTTAAAAATAAAATTTTGAGTTAATGACATTGACCCACTGTCCAGTGATCACCAGCGAGCGTTACTCCTCTATGGAAGACCCTACTTTCAGCCAATGTAGAACAAACTACCGGACACTGCTTGATTAAAATATAATTCTCAGTGCAAATGAGCGAGTAAATGATAATGAATTAAATTTAGTCGGATGCAAACGTATAATCATGTTAAGAATTAATGGATTATGCGTTAGATTAAGCAAATCGCGCCTGATTATTCGTGTGCACTTACCCGAATTTCGATATTGTTTGCATCAAAAAGGCTGTTGGACTGGTAAAACCCTCGCTGAAATGAAAATTTCGATTTCCTGTGTAGTGTCTGACTCGCGTTATTATTTTTCATTCAGAAATTCTACTGCAATCTCTCCAATTAATTGTCTTCCTTTATTTTGCTTTTACTGTTTTTTTTTGAATTTTTAAATAATAATTTAGAATTCATTTAGACTGTACTGAAGTAGAGCCTTCCATAATTCGTAACGCGCTAGTCCCACACAGATTTATTTTTCATACGTACTTCATGAAATTATCGTTCTCCTCGTTCATTTTCTCAGCGTCTTTGGCCTTGCATTTTATCACACGCTCCACTAATTGTCGATTTTCCTCCTGAAAATATTATTGAATTAGTTTTAATTGTTGAAGAGATTGAATATAATTATTATTCTAGATGAATTCTTTAAATCCATTTGTTTCCGAGTTATTGACGCTGTCACCTGCAGCCAAAATTTCAATAAGAAAAATGACATGAACATAACTATTTTGTGAATGTCTAAAAAACGAGTGAATTTAGAATAAAATGTCAAAAGGTCTTTTTTACAGTCAAAAAAATTTCCTATAAAAATTTATTTTGACATTTTTCCGTAAATCCACTCGTTCCCAAGTTATCTGCAAAATATTTTTACCACTCCAGTGCTGATTTACCGAGAAAACTCAATTGCATTTACTTGTATTTTCCGCAGTTTCTCCTCTAACGAAGCAAAAGCCAGTTGGAGAGCCTGATACTCGTCTCTCAGCATTTGATTAACGCCTTCTAATTCACGTTCTTTGTTCATGTACATTGTCAATTCAGCACGCAAGGATGCATTCGCCTGGAGGCTCTCGGCTAAACTGTTTAAAAAAAGAGAGAATTAGTCGGTTTTAAAGAGTTCTTTGAGATCCACTGAGCCGTGAGAGACAATGAATAACTCATAAGGATGGGAAATTTTTAATTATTCGTTTGAATTGGAATTCTTCTGTGACATGACGAGCTCACAGGAATAATTCATCAACATGTTGAGATGATGAATAAATAGAAGAAATGAGGGGCTTAAAAATTTTCAAAGTGGAAACACAAACTCAGCGGAGAGTTCTTTCCAAAGATCAGGGGATTCAATTTTAGGTGGAAAGTGACGGAATAGTTTGTTGATTTGTGACTTATCTCGTTGATGAGTTGAGCTCGGAAAAATTGTCAAAGGAATTTTTTTGCAGAGAGTTTATTGCCTACAAAAATGTCTCAACAGTTTCAGCCAAAAGTGCTCAGTCCAAAGGTGCTAATTTCATTATCAATTTTTGTTCAATTTATTAATGCTTATTAATTTGCTAATAACTACAAACAAGTGGGAAATTACTCTTGTTTTACATACAGTGTAGTTATTTTTGCTAATAAATTGGCATGTATAATTCATTATTTATTTCATTTTATTCGTAAAGAAAGAATAAGATTTCTTTTTTCCTAATTTCGTCAGATTTTCAATTTAGTTTTACTCCTCTTAGCCCTTCGATAAAATGCTGATAGAAAAATTTTATTTACACATATTTGAGTGAATTTGAAAAATTTGATTTCTCGGTGAAACGGAAGGGGAGTCTTATTGTTCTCGAGCCCAGATTCAATCTCTGAGCACGAAATTTTTCAATTTTCATGTAACTATTCAAGTCTGCATTTGAACATTTTTTGAATATTGATTTTATTCATCAGATTGATTTTTTTCTTATCACCTACAGGTGTCAAATAATTTTTATTGGCCGTTTTCAGCTCTAAAAATCAACTTTAACAGCTGATAAATTCGGCAAATTCCACACAATTCCCCTCGGTCGTAGTGCTTTTTGCAATGAGAATAATCGTAACCAATTAATTTAAAAAAGGAATCCGTCATCTGCCAGGAAAAAGGGCACAATGAAAGCCCATAAATACCCTCTCCTCCCCCAAGACTTACCTAGCCTCCTTGCTCTGCAGATCCTTCCCCATCTCCTGAATTCTATTATTCAAATCAACAATCTGCTGTGTATGCTCCCCCCTCCTCCTGTGCAGCATGGTGAGTTCTTCAGCCTGAGCGAGTAGCCTCGCCTCCAGTGCAGCATTTGTCCCAGAGGTGCCAGACCCACCGGCCACCTCGCACCGTAATTTTTCATTAGCAACTGTCAAGTGCAAGTTCTCACCCCTCAGCGTATTAACACTCTCGAACAGCCGGTTATCTGCATCCCCACAACAATACCCATTAACCTCCAAAATTGGCACTAAAAATTCGACATTATTTTCCACTAAAAAACAAACTTACGTAAACATATGAGATCGTGGAAGCAGTATGTTTGCGATCTATTTCGATTTCTCAATTGCGATATGATACTCCTCCTCCAGTCCGTCGATGCACCTGGGGAATACGTCAAGTCCGGTGTCTCGCTGCCTGCCATCACATTTATTTATTTATTCCACTGGCCGAATGAGCGATTGGTGAATTGGGGGTGAATGAAAAAATTGCAAAACTAGAGTCACTGAAACTTGAGAACACAGCACGAACGAGAGTCTGTCACCACGCGGGGCTCATATTACGCGAAATAATGCACCACTAAATGTCTTCGACTTGTCACTTGTTGACGCGTAATTCATCGCGGGGGTAATAACGGAGAATTAATGTTTATTGTTGCGAAAATAGAGCTACTCTAACCTCAACGTATCGAACACTACCGCACTCACATATTTCGGAGTGCGATTCTAAACAGTGGTCGGTGGTGGGGGGCAAGCAATCAGCTGGGGTTAGGGTCGTTGTTTGTTGTTGTTTGACGGCGGCGACGACGGGGGGAGGGTCGGGGCATTGTTTGGGATTGATTGGTTTGAATTTTGGGGGGAGGTTTGGGGTTTTGAGGGCCAAGGGGCTCGCGAGTTTTGGGTTATCGACCGGTGGTAAGGACCGCGGGCTGACGCCGGTATTTGAACGGGTTCAATGGTCTAGTTGTAGTTTAGATGGAGAATCATTCGTTCGGTTTGTTTGTTGGGAAATAGTACGCCAAGGAAAATGGTTCAGTTGAAGTGAATAGGGGAGGATGGGGCAAAACGGCCCCCCTTCAATCGTCAATATTTTCCGATTCAATAATCCGATTGGGATGAGTTAGAGCTCGTTTTGAAGAATGAAAAATTATCTTCAAAATGAAGTTGAAACTGGGAATTTTCACAATGTCATTCACAAGTTATTGACAATTGAAGGGGGGCCGTTTTGCCCCACCCTCCCCTAATTATAATCTTTATTCGAATTGGTAAAATAATTTTAAGATTACAGTTTTTGAAAATGATTAAGTATTATTAAAATTATTAATTTTTTAATGTTTTCTCACGGCTCAATATCGAGATGCAAATTCAGACGTGCAAAGTTTAAATAATATAAACATTCAACTTGACTGCAAAAGTAGAAAAGCATTTCAATGGAAAAAAAATTCCCAAAGTACTTGGATAGCCTTAAATAATAATTTATTAAATTTTAATGAATTTTGAGATTATGAAAATTTATTGTTTAAAATCGCTACGAAAATACTTTTTTCATTCATTAAAAATTTTTTTAGAACGATTGGTTTGAGAATTGAAATTTTCTCAGACGGAACTTTTCGAGTGAATGGAATTTCCAGTGGGAAATGTGTCTCGATGATTCAAAAATCACTAATTACCAAGATAATTACGTACTTACCCGGAGACAACGAATCACCTCGAACCATTTCGCCTACCAACAGAGTTCTAGAAATTCCTGCCGAGACATTCGCCTTTCTCCTTAATCATCTGTTCATCACTCAACTATTCATTTCAAAATACATAAAATAAATAATTCATTTTCGTCAACTCCACGCACAAAAAATTTCATGGAAAAATCTAGCGCCGAGAATTCCATTAGTTTTTCGCATAGAAATGTTCGATCGACAATATTTTTATTTGATAAATACAATCAATCGATTTAGATCTTTCTATACAACTTATTTAATCGATGTATTTTTTTGTAGAAAATTAAAAAATTTAAGTAAATTGAAATAAATTGAGCTCATGATTTTCTATTAAATATTTTCATCTAGAAGAGTTGACGAACAAGTTGTAAAAATTGATGTACGTGTGAAATTACCATTACTATTATAGAAAACCGTTACTAAAATTCTGCCTTCATCTCAAAGGTCATCAATCCATCAATTCCCACGGTCACGGTTCACGTTGTCCGTCCGAAACCGCGGGGGGTCTGCACTCTGCTTCTTCTCTAGGAATGTCTCCTCATTCGAGCCCTTACAGATAGCTGAAAATCCCCTCAATACAGGACAAAGGCTGTTCATAGGTGGGTAAAAATCCCCCTCTTCATGATTTTCAAAAGAAAAATTTAAAAAATATGTAAAAAAAAATATTAAAAAATTCAAGTGCCCGCTACAAAATCATTTGCTCTCAGAATAAAATCTTGTAATTTCATTTTGTATAAAGAAATGAATATACATATTGTTCGTTATTCACTAAATAAATTTTACAACTAAGTAGAAATTAATGAGTCACTGATTCACCATAATTTACAATTGCAATTAGTTTACCCCCTGGAAGTAGGACCGAGGCTGTTCCAAATCGTCAAAAAAGAAATTTAAAAAAAAAATTATTCAGAAATTCAAGTACTCCCTAAAATATGATTCGCTCCCACAAAAAATCTTGCAATTTCATTTCTCTCGAAGAAATGAATAAATTCATGATTCGCTAAATACAATTGACAACTGATTAAAAATTAGAGTCACTGATTCACCGCAATTTACAATTGTTTCAAAAATAAAAAAATACATGAAAAAGACTTCACGAAAATACTTCACACAGCCATTGATAGCGACGACACCAAAGGCTTTGGTGGCACGTCGACACAGCCGTCCTCGTACTCCAGAGTCTCAGTATTCTCCCGATAAAATTCGTGGCAATCTGGACAGTACTGGGCCCGAGAGACGAACATGAGGGGATGTCCGCAGCTGCAGCAGGTCCGGCGATTGGGCCTCGGCTCCGATATCAAGAAATGCCTGTGAACTCGCACAGCCTGTCTGTCACTTCTCTCCGGATCAATGAATTTACGCTTTGAGCACGAAACACAGTAGTAACCACCCCAGAACAAAGTGTAGTTCATCTTGTGACAGTAAAAATCTGTCAACTTCTTGGGACTATCACCGAATTCACTGACTCCCTGCATCTTCGGGACTGTTGGTGCCAGCCTGAGCAGATGTTTCCAGATGTTTCGTGTTACTCCGAAATTTTTGACGTGAACTTTGAGACCACTCACTTTTATGCTATGTCAACCCCCCCCCCCGGCCCAGAAGTTTTTTTTTTTGGGGCAGCGCCATCTACTGTAAACATGGGAAGCTGCTACTTCAGAAGGACAGGTGTTGAAATTTTAAATTACTAGCGCATGAAGATCCGATTAATTAGCCCCTCATGTATAGATATTCCAAATTTTTATTTTTTTCCTCATTGAAGTAGTTTTGAAAAAAATTGCGAGCTAATAAAAAACATTTGCTAGTTAGTACTTTTTTTAAAATAAATTTTTGAAAAATCACCCCTGAAAAAAAGGCGTTATTCCCCCTATTTCATTATTTCCAAAAAATTTTATCTGAGGCCCAAAAATTATCACAACAAATGCCTCACAAAAAATCTCAAGAGAAAAATTCAACAGAAAAATCGAAATCTATTGAATTTTTTCATACGTCGAATAATGGAACGGAGCGTCCGTAAAATTTCTCTTTATGCACAAGCGATGAAAATCATTTTTCGTACGTAAACCAAAACCTGAAAATCAGTGAAGTTCCGAAGTAGATGAAGCTATGCAGTGTGAATAGAATCCATAAAAGCCATTTTCAAGGTGAATAACTCATTTAATCCCTCGACATCACCTTCCACAGACAATTCCTCAAAATCTTTTTCATACTCAAAAATATAATAGACGAGGAAAGTTCATCACGAGTTGATGAGTGTGTCCAATTCCACATCTACTAAAATCCTCAAGACCTCTTCGGCCTATCGATTTTCCAAGCGCCAATGGTGTACCTTAGCCAGATGAGCCCCAGGTCTCGACCCATCTGCAGCCAACTCCAGAATGGAACGACTTTGGATCCCTCGATCTCCGTCCAATTCACGCAAATCTCTTTAACCGGAATGTTCAGTGTTTGGGCGAGGTACAGCATCTCCACGTCGAAGGCCCATCTCTCCACGTGCAGCGCTCGGAATAGAGTCCTAGCGGATTCACGTGTGAGGAGTTTGAATCCACATTGAGTGTCGCGAATGCCTCGCACGCAGAGCGCCCAGACGAGGAAGTGGAAGCCGTGCATGAGGATCAGTCGGAAGATGGATCTTGTGGCTGTCGCTTCTTCCTCCAGATGCGCCCGTGAGCCGCAGATAACTGCGTTGGACAGAGAAGCTTCGTGGGGCCTCTCTGTGTAGTCGACTGGAAAAGTTAAAATGCATTAAACTAAATGAATTTCTTCCCACGATGAAAAATTCCATAAAAAACGGAAAAACTTGAACTACAATTTTAGAATTGGATTTTCGATGGTAATTATTCTACTGAAATTCCTCGCCATGAGTTCTCCGAGCTTTTCCAAGCTTTGTGATCTTCAAATTCAAGTTTTGGGTCATTCAAATTTTTTTTACATTAAACAAAGGAATTTATTTAGCGTTCCACATCCCTGTGACGTCGTAGGAAATGATTGCATAGGAACCAGAATAAATTATGCACCTGAAGAGGAATGCCTTGAGTGTTCGAACCGTAGTGCAATTGAATTAGTAAATTTGTAATGAATTATCATTTTTTCTAATCGATTCTTGGGTAATATAATTCTCAACGCCAGCTTTACTGAGATTAAAGCAGTTTATAATTTCACTTTGAAATGTTTATCTGCCCGTCGAAATATTGATGTACTTAATGCCACATAATGAATAATGTTATTGAACAATTTTGGCGAATTCTTACATTTCAATACTTCCTTGAGACTATCCTCCAATTTCTCAAGGTCACGGAATTTCGTAGCACCATCAGCATCAGCGAAGAGTAATAAACATCCTCTAGCACTCTGCATTCCCTGGAGGGACGGAACAAACATTTTTAATGAAGTACGACACCATCTTTCGAACTACTGGTCATTCTTCAACGAATATCTCGAAATCTGAGCCCGATAGCGAAATTTTTGTTATGACCTTTATTGCAGCTCTCAATTCGCTCTACAAAAAAGGTCATTACGAAAAATTCGCTATTTGCCTTAGATTCGGAGATATTCCTCGAAAACGCAGGTAAGAGCCAACAGTAAGTTAACTTAAATCGTTTTACCGCTGAATTATTTTTTTCTGCCAAAGTTAGATACTCACTAATCTCACAGCTCCACCCTTCCCTCGATTCTTCACAAGATCCAGCACTCTCACAGTCTTGTATTTTTCTGCGTAGCTCTGAGCTACTTGCACGGTTTTGTCTGTACTTCCATCACTCACGACAATAACTTCATAAGTGAGTCCCGATTTTTTTCTGCTTTCGAGGTAGTCCAGACATTCATCCAACATCGGAATTACTGCAAAATGAGTCAATGACGACGATCAATTAATTCAGTGAGACGAGCACCAGAATCTCTTGGATTGAGGTGAATGATGGAAATCCTTAAATCAATTTAGCATACATTTACTGAATGCCACTAAGTGAATCGGCGAATCATCTCAAAATACTCACGTCTTTCTTCCTCATTGTACGCCGGAACAACAACACTGAGTTTGACTGTGAATTCATCGTCAATCGATGGGAATGCAACTTTTCTTCCGGTCTTTCCATCAATAAAATATTTCTCCCTCTCATCCCTCCAAATGTTGGGGTATGGGGATGTGATAACGTACAGGAATGTACAAAACTGGAATGGAGGACATGGAAAGTTAGACCTTTACCATTGAAATGAATATTTAGGGATGAAGCTGAAACTCGCAGAACATTCGTCAGCGGAAAATTCAATTTCGTGGATATTTAAGTGTAGGAGAGTCAAATAATCGTAGGGGAGGTTGGGGTAAAATGGACACTTTTGACTTTTTTTAAAATGTTAATGACGGGTTGACATGTTGATAAAATGTCATATTTTTTCTCTCATTGCGAAGAATAATTCTTTCCCTTTGTAATGAGCCTAAACTGAGCTCAATTGATGAATTTGTTGCTGAGATCTGAGTAATTAAAACAAAAGTCTAAAGTGTCCATTTTACCCCACTCTCCCCAATGTAGAATAGTTTTTTAAGTGAGAAAGAGTTTGTACATTACTTAAACCATTTGTACACCCCAAGATTCGCCTAAGGAAAATCTTCTGCTGTCGAATCTTTCGCTAGTTTTAGCTTCATTATTTAAGAGAGATCAAGGTGAATCGAGGAGTCACTGGCGTGTCAACAATGGAGCATAACCTCCTTAATCGAGTAAACTTACTGCAAGACTGATAAATAACGCAAATGCAAAGAGGCTGGTGATTAGAGTGTACAGAGAAATCATCGTACAACCGATGATTTGGCACTGAATGTAGAAAAATTTTGTGAAGACTGGGGAAATCCTATGAAATTCATTCCACGTCACTTGGAGGAGCACTTGTTACACACACAGGGGGGCGGGGGGCACCGCATTGGTGGGTGTGACTCGCCGGGACCGGGTGTTTATGGGAATTTATTTCGAAATCATTTCTAGGGTGGACAAGCCAGTTGCTGGTCAATTTAGACTTTTTTAAAATTATTTATAACTCAGAAACAAATCGATCCATTGAGTTCAGTTTAGACTCGTCACAAAGGGAAAGAGTTGTTCTTTGTATTAAAAAAAAATATATATTAAATTTTATCAACATTTCAACCTCTCATTAACATTTAAAAAAAAGTCAAGTGTCCGTTTTACCCCAACCTCCCCTATATTCGAAAACTCGTCGTCAAACACCGACTGTAAAAAAAATTACGAAATTGAAGGATAAATAGAGATGAACTACGAGATATTGTGAAAATTTGAATTTTTTTTCTACAGAAAATACTCTGCTGCATTATAAATGGCTTTTGTCAATAAAATCCACTGCAATCGTTGAAAATACGCCGAGATTATTATTTTTTGAGAGATCATTCTCGCACTCGGAAGAATGATTGAGAATTATGACACAAACATTTCGAACAAAGTTAAAGAACTTTTTCAGAAAGACGTTTCCATAATGTTTGTTTATTGTTTTGTTTTGAATATTTGACTCTTCATCGCTCCCACCTGACGTTTCCGACGGAATTCAATCACGTCAGCCCTTGAGAAATACGAATTTTATCTATCAAGATGTGAAAATGTCAGCGGAGACCCCAGAAGAGCCTCCCCGCAGGCCGAGATTTCGATTGTTCATACCGGGGACCCCCACGACCCACAAGCAAGCCGCAAAAGAACGACTCCAGAAAGTCTCCAACACTCCGGCATCATCAGAGGCTGAAGAGGACCCTTGCGCTAAGAAAGAGGAGAAGAAAGTCGAAGGGAAGTTCAGGCCCACCGTTGCAGCAGACCCCAGGTGAACTCTCATCTCCAAATTTTGTTTCGATATTATTCCGAGAGCTTTCATCAGAGAATTTTAAATGGCTGTTTTCTTCCTCCATTTCTTCTCTTCCGAAAAATCCCCAGCGGCCACAAATACTATAATCTCCTATTAATTTATTTTCATATTTATTTTGAAAATCCACATATCGTCTTTGAATATTGCATAATTTTTTTTGGCTCGTGGAAAGTTTACAGCACGAGCCGAAGGCGAGTGCTATCACCCCACGAGCATTGACCGGATTTTTTTTCCCCCGAAAAAAATCCCTCGTCTAAATATTCCCCCGGAATTATTTTCCCCTGAAAATCACAAAAAAAAATCGGGAAAAATTAAAAATAAACATATTATAATTTTTAACTTCATTGTTAATGATGGATTGTTTTGTTAGTGTAAAGAGAAATAATTCCGGAAATTTGTTTCCGAGGGAATTTTTCTGTCCTTTTCTCTGAGTGTGAATTCATTCCATTTTACTACTTCAACTTGCAATTTCTCAATTTACCCCCCTGCAATTAAGGTTTCAGCAGCAGAATCAAACTCTGCGATGTTTCGTGATGTACACCGACTTCTTCAGATGTGAGAAGATCCTCGGAGAAGGCCACGAGGCCTGCAGTTGGTTCAAACGTTGCTACCAGACGATTTGTCCAAACGACTGGATCAGTCACTGGGACGACCTCCGCAGCCAGGATTTAATGCCCTGGTCCAAGGCGTACTACAAAGCAGCCGCAGAAGCAGAGAAGAGAGAATCCAACAAATCGGAATAATTTATAAAGTCGATGATAAAGTGGTCAACCCACTTTCCCAGAAAATGTGGAAAATCAATTTGAAATTATTTCGCACATTCTCCTTAAGTAAACGGATTCAGAGAGACCAGAATAATTTTTTTTTCAAATGAGGATCATGAGGGTCACCTGAGGACTAACTGTTGTTAATCCCATTGTCCTGAAAAAGATCACAGGGTTTCATCGCCAAATAAACAACGCGCCTCTACGAAAAAATATTAATAATTTTATTACACAGGTACAGGAGTTGAATTTCCATGAGGTATATAGTTATTTGGGTAATTAAACTTAAAAAAACGAATGAAAAAAATAGTAATCAAAATTCGACCGATAAATAGAATCAAATTCGTTAACTGAAATAAGTACTTCAAAGATCATCTCCATTCTGAACTGCCTTTAAAAAATTAAATAATCTCTTCATATGAAAAATGTGCTCCGCTGTCACGTTCGTTCACACTTACTTAAGTCACTCTGAGACAATTTACAGTACTTCACACGCGAAATAGTTGCGCATCAACCCTTTTTAAAGTCTTCACAATATAATATACATAAAAAAAATAATAAACAAGTGAGAAATAAATGTCACCAGTAAGATTGGATATTTGGAATGAGACGATATTTTTTTGTCGTGTCGACAAAAAACTTAAAAAGTAGGAATCAATGGCCTGATGGATTATCTCTTGGGTGTTAATCCCCTTTTGCTAGTGTTCACAGCCCATTTTTAGGTGTAAAAATCAGTGGCAGATAAATCCAGCCAGTTTTTTTTCTTTTTTTTTATGAAGACAACTTACCATCCAGTGGAGTGGAAATCGCCATAAAAATTAATCAGTGGAACGAAAAATATCAGCTGATGATTTATTATCTTCGTGGAGGATTTATCTTCTTATCTGTTGAGCCTGAAAATTCGTTGAGGTCATTTAAATTGATTCGATGAGTGAAATCAATTGCCTGAATGAGTTCATTGGGCAGTGGATGAAGTGATAAAACAGAAAATGACGATTCGATTATTAAAGTTGGAAAAAAAATGAAAAATGTTGAGAGAATTTTTTGTCTGGGAATTTTGTCCTCAAAAAAAGTCTCTTGAGATGTGAATTTGTGCTGTTAGAGATGACGAGTGGGGTGGGGGTGGAATCTAACGTTGGAGGGGCCCTTATGAGACTTTAGAACCACCTTACGTATGTAAAAAAATCCTAGGTTATTAGAGAATCGTCTGAGGCTGGTTTCTGGGCTCCAAGTGATTGTAGAGACAGCCATCGTCCTTGCAGACACCAGTCAGCTCGAAGGGACAGAGCTCACGGTTACAATCGATGTGTCTATTGAGATTATACAAAAAGACACGAAATATGCCCTCAGACTAATTATCAGCAAATTAAAATTGATCGTTGGATGGAATGAGGGATTGACAAGACGAAAAATCTATTTCAAATGGATCTGAAACTGATGGATTCGGTGAGAAATGTCGAGTGATTTTTTTACTTTAAAACATTTTTTTTCTTCAATTTTTTGATTTTTTTCAATCATCAAATTTGTCAATTAAATTGATAATTGAACAAAACAGTTTTTCACAAAAAGTTGAATATGTTCTAAACCCCTTGTCCGATTTCACCTGCCCACAATGCCATCCTGTAATACCATAAGAGCTACAATCTCACCAAATTTAAACATTTTATCTAATCAGAATTCAGCCAGAGGAAAATAAAAGGGGAAAAATTGCTAGCATGAGTTTTCGAGGAAGAATTGTTACGAGCAAAATTTGAGGGGAAGAAAGAACTGTGCCCCTCACTCCATCCAAAGAAAAAAAAACAATAGTGAATTGGAGACATGGAAACACCCACCTAGGCGTCCTAACATTCGTCAGCACAGACTCGTACGAATTAGCCAATTGCGACAGCCTCTCGATCGATCCACCTGGACACGACGTCTCCACAGTGGTCAAGAGCCCTGGATTCTCCCCAGAAATTTCCAGTGTACTGTCACCAGGCAAAGGGCCACTCTGGGTCAGTGCATCGCTCTGGCTCTCCTCGGTTGATCTGGAAATGACAACTCCAGTGGCATTATCACTCTGTTCTGCTCCACTGTTAACGTTATCACCACTCCCACTGCTCTGATCCCAGGAACCTTCAGAGTCTCCACTCAATGTTCTCTCCTTACTCAATTGTCCTTCACTAACACTTCCTGTCTCATTACTATTATTATTATTTTCACATGGCACTTTCTTCCTTGATAACTGTCTCGTGTGGTAGGCTACTTCCTTCAGCCTCTCCATCATCAGTTGTGCACCGGTCACAGGCACCCTAAAGATGGAAATTATTCTTTCAAGTTTATTTTTCGGTGACTTCTCGCAGCTGAGGAGATTCTGCATAATAAAGAATTCGTAACAGTTTCTTCGAGCAGTCGAATTTTTTCTCACATTTTTTTTAAAGAAAAGATGAATAGTTTATGGGAAATATCTGAATATAATCACTCAGAGAAAGATCAAATTCCATTGATTTTTTATATGAAATAATTTCTATTGGACATTTTCTGTTGAAAGTTGACGAATTATTTCGAGAATTCGTGTCGTAGAAGCAAAATATCAAGTTTTCTTCCATAAATTTTCAAGTTTTGTTTTTTTAATGAGAAAAAAATAGAGAAAAAATTCGAAAAATTTACGTCCAGAAATTTCCATAAAAAATATTCCAATAAAATGAATTGTACAGAAAGATCAAATTTCATTGATTCTATCCAGGAAATTGTTTGCATTCGACATTTTCTATCAGGAAAAAATTTATCACACAATTGCATTGATAAAAAATATTTCAGATTGTCCCACACATTTGATGAAGATTTCTCTCGACAAATCATTGAATGGCCCTATAAAGGTAATTGCCTAATTAACAAGAATGTTAGGTTTCATTCTGCATTCTGTCTTTTATCCAGATGTAAAAGGGATAAATTTAATCGTGGATATGACGATTAAAAATAATTTACTTGTACTGTTGTCCAACAACTTTAGTTCCAATGCCCTGGCAGAGTTTAGTGAGCTTGAGGCACTCAGTCCGTCCCTCAACGATCATTTTGTGTGCATTTGTCACTTTCGGCCCGATGTTATCGATCTTGGCTCTCTGCTCCAGCAGTCGCTCCTTAGCTACTGCCAATTGAGCTCTGAGTCTCCTCAACTCGGCGAACAGATTCGTTTGAAGCTCACGCTCTATATCCCACTGCTTGAGTGTACTTGACATCTCAGTCAAATCATCCAGCACCGAGTACCTGAATGCACATAATGGTTTAGTTCATGCTTACATCTGACCTCAAAAACCACTTTCAAAACACCCAGAAAATCTTTCTAAACCCATTATCGAGTGAAGGAAACAGTCTGAAAAATTAATTTGACCTCAAAGAATATCTCTGAATTCTTGAAATAAAATCTAAAAATTACATTATTGATCCTAAGAGCTCAATTGATACATTTTCACCTCAAATGTTAATTCAAAAATGATAAAGAACGATGTGAAGTATTTAATGAAGTATTAAATGATGTTGAAATGAACTAGGCAACCCCGCCAAAAAACAATCAAAACGATTTTTCCCACCTCTTAGTCACCAAGTTCTGCTCGATCTCCTTCAACCTCTCCCTCTGCTGCTCCTCGCTCAACGCCGCCAGGCCCTCCAGCACCGCCTTGACATCGGACTTGATCTTCTCGGTGTGTTCCTTAGTCGGCGACTTGCTCTTGGCCCTGCAAGGGGACCTCTGAGCCCCCACTGTTCGTTCCTCCACAGTATCATCGAGCACGACCGTCGAGTCCCCGGACTCCCTGGAGACCTCCCCATCCGAACTTTCGCCCTCTCTCGGCGGCAAAATCACAGTCGAAGCTTCGGAGTCCACCGTCACAGACCCAGAATCCCCCCCCAATGTCTCCTGACTCGTCTGATCGACGTTTGAAGTGTCAGTTCCACTCGCAATTGCCCCCAATCCTCTACTCCCTCTGTTATTTCCCCCTGAACTCTCATTGTTCTCCACGGAATCACAATTAACATCAACATCACTGCATTGCAAAAGCTCTCCAATGGACTTCTCATGACCCCCATCGCCCAGAGTCACTGTTCTGCCCCCCTGCCTCAGCTGGACCTGCACGAACTTGGAGTTGAGTTGATCAGTCGTGAGAATTCTGAGTGCAGAGGGAACTTTCGACGAATTATCATCCAAATTCTCTGGTTTATTGAAGACTATTCGACCCCCTGGTGTCACATTATCGTTTGGTATCTGAATACTGAGGTTTGCCATTGGCTGAGATGATGCAGGCGAACTGTTGATGATAAACTGATCGGTCACCCCTGTTTTCGTGGGAATGAGCATCGGTTGTGGGGACTTTTGAGAGGAATTCTGGTCCATTGTCGTTGACTTTGGACCTGGGGGCTTTGGAATTATTGGGGCCTTGGTGGGAGCCTTGGGGTCTGGGGGATTCGAGGGCTTTGAGAGGGCTGAGGGGAGCTTTGGGGTGAGGGACTTGTTGGGCTTGGAGATGGGACTTGCTGGGGACAGGGGGCTTGGGGGAGTGTTTATTATTTGTCGAGTTGCTCGTTGCCGCTCTTTCTCGAGGATTTTCTGCTTAAGGCGCTTGTACTCCTCTTGCTGGGATGGGGGAAGGTGTCGAACCGCCTGAAACAAGTTTATTGAGTAGGTAATGAGGTGAATTTATTCGAATATACCGCGCCAATCGATCTCAAAATATTGGAGTAATTTCAGAAATTGACGAAATGTGTCGCTCTCTTGACTCTCAATCTCTGACGTGATCGGTCAGTCTATTATCTCTCTTTTTATTTTGTCATGTGAAGCTTTGAGTAATTGGATTAATTATTAATTGGAATAATGGTGTTATTTTTGAGATTGCTGTAAAGATAAAATTATAAACCAGAAAATTCCGGTGAATATGTTCTTGAATTTTCAGGACAGTGACACTAAAAGCGATTTAGGGGGAAAAAATAATGAAATTTCAGATAAATTGAGGAATTTTCGTTCTTGTGCTGCTTAAAAGTCTGGAATTTTAATGAATTTTCCGTAAAATCTGAAATTTCATTTCATTCTCTTCCAACAAAATTGATTATAATTAATGGCTAGAATTATGAGAAAAACGCAACGATTCAATCCCATTCCTTCACCCGAGCGCGCCGTCCCCTCCAAAAACCGCAAAAATCCCTTTTCCAAAAAAATGTAATCATTCTCACCAGAGGAGTTCCACTGAGTCCAGCGTTCCCCTTGGCAGCCCCGGTCCCCTTGGCAGCACTGGTGGGTGTGGACGTAGCAGGAGCCGAGCCCAAAGCCATCGTCTCCTGCTTCTTCCTCTGCTCCTTGAGAAACTGGTCGACACTCTTCTCGAAATCCGTCGTGGGTATCGCCAGCACATCCCTCTGCCCGCCTCTCCCCAGGGCCCACTGTCCCCCCTCCTCCCCCGAGTCGCTATCAGAGTCCTCCCCCAGCTTGATAACCAGACTCTGCACCTTCCCCGAGGCCTTCACCATCGGGCTCGCCGGCCTGTGCGTCTCATTCGCCTTAACATTCACCAATTTAATATTCTGCGAGCCACCGCTTCCACCACCAGCACTCGTAGTCCCCTTCCCCTGGGCCTGGAGTATCATTTTCCTCTGCATCATGGTATTCTGGAACTTCTTAGCATTGTTAACAACCTTCGTGCTGACAGGAATGGCAGCTTTCTTGACGATTTTCTTCGGTGGTCCCCTGATAACCGTCGGATTCGCTCTCTTCTTGGCCTCAACCGCAGCGATGACACTCGCCTGAAGGCCTCCAGGCGCCTGCAGACCGTTCCCTGAGGCCCTTTGAACCGCCCCTGCCGTGCTACCGGCTCCACCAAAAGGTTTTGAACCCACAGCATTCACCGGAGGATCCCCACTCGTCGGTTTCAACGATTTACCCCCAACTTCAGAAGCCTTCACAGTCTTATTAACCAGTTTATCGTCGTCCTTTCCTCTCTCAACAACCTTCACAACATCCTGAACCTTCGCCGAGACCTCACAACTTCTCTGCGCCTTTGCCGCCCCCTCGGGCCCCCTCTGAGCCTCATCGGACCCCCTGCTCTCACCGGACTTTGGTCGCTTGGCCAACGAAGCTAGCAGAATGGCTCTCAGTGTCTCCTCATCCTCTTCAATACTATTCCTCCGTTTCCTATCATTGACATCCTCTTCCGAAGTCTCCTGAACCCTCTGTTCCCCTTTATTTTCCTCAGCACTGGCTTCCCTCCTCGAACCCGAGGAATTTGCCTCGTTCTCCTCCCTTTCACTGGATTTCGATCTGCTGCTGGTCGATTCCCCTCGCTGTGACGTCGAGCTGCTTTCAGACGCTCTAGAAACGTCAGCTGCATTCGATTCGTCATGAGGAAGACTGGAATTGGCTTCAGAGTCTGCAGAAAGAGCCGCATTCCTGGCCATCTCCCTCAGGCGTTTCCTTCGCCCCTCACCACCTCTGTTTCTCTTCCTCCCAGCCCTCGGCTTTCCCCTCTTCCTCTTCTTCTTGGCCACTTCAGGGGTTTTTCCATCATTCACCTTCTTCTTGACCACTTCAGGGATTTTTTCCTCATCCATCTTCCTCTCGCCATCGTCTTTGGCTGAAGCAACTTTTATAGTGCCCTCAGACCCCTCAACATTGCTCTCGTCCATAGAAACGTTGTTGAAGGCAGCTGCTGGCGCCACAACCGTCGGCTTCTTCGCCACCGGCTGAAGCTTGATCGGCTTGAAGACAGGAGTTGCCACTGGGTCCGTTCCAACGTCAACTGGCAGCATCTCAGCGCTCTTGAAGGCCGGCTCGCTCGCCACTTCGAGCCTCTTCTGGGGCAGTGGCTGCTGGAGGTTCTTGTTGGTTTTCAGGATTGACACTGGCACGAGGGATTTGTTCACCAGAATCGGAATTTTGTTCGGCTCTTTGGTGACCTCGGGAAGACCTCGGAGGTAGAGGGGCTCGCCCGGGGCCTCAGCAGCTCTCGAGGAATTCTCGGGGCTGATGGGCTTCACAAGACGGAGCAACTGACGAGACAACGGCTCAGGATCCGTCTGTTCGTTTCCCTCTTTCGAGGCAACGTCTGGAGCTGGTGCGGGGGCGTGAGGCGTTGGATCATCAGGTGCCTCTGGGCCATCTCCGACGGCTTCTGGGGGAGGCACTGCAGGTCTTCCAGAAGAGTCTTCGATTTTTTGGGAGTTTTCGTCCTTTTTTGGTGGATCTTTCATCGAGAGATCGAGGACGACACAGCTGTCGTCGTTCTGGGGGCCCAGGAGCTCTGGGGGACAGTAGGGGAGCTCAGGGTCGTACAGCGGAGTGTCTGAGGGAGAGTACGGAGCGGCCTCGCTGCTCTCGCTGTCGCTGTTTATCGTGATCATCCTCAGGATGTTTTTTCTTCTCTCCTTCTTGAATCTGTCTACCCAAGGGGTCTTCGTGGGGTCTGTCGGGGAGTAGGGGGCCTCCATGTTCACGCCGTCCCCCGAGTCCTTCTCCTCCTCGTTCTTGGAGACCATCGGTTTAACGTCTGACGACACTTTTCGGTAATGATGGACCTCCGGGGAATTCCGGACTATCTCGTCTGTTGGGGAGTACGGGGAGTAGCTCTCCTTCTCTCTCTCCACGTCGGTGTCCAGCTCCATGTCCTCCACCTGCTGACCTCGGGGTCCCTCCGGCGACGACGAGGGCTCGCCGGGCTCCAGGTCGTTCAGGAAACTGTCGACGAAGGGACTCATCTCCCTCGGATTGCTCCTCTTGGTCTGGCCGTTCTTCACTCGTTTCTGGTGCTTCTTTATCACAGCTGACTTCAGGGCTATCATCCGCAGCTCCAGGTCCTCGGGGTCGTTGTCGCTCAGGTGATCGGGCTCAGGCGTCTCCAGCTTCGGCTGCTTTGTCTCCAGGGCCAAGCGCCTTAGGACGTCCAGGTTCTCGTCCTCTTCCTCGGTGGCTGATTGCGAACTCACGCTCTCCTTCGGCTGCGGGTCAGGCTCGTTGGTGTCTGGCTTCGTTTTCAGGATGTTGTTCAGTTTTTCTTTCAGGGAGGAGTGGTCCTTGGGCTTTCGGTCGGGGGTGATCGTCCCCACACCCTCGAGGAGTCGAACTTTCTTCAGGAGAGAGGAGGCGTAGAGGTCGGCGTAGGTTGTTGCTGGGTGATGACAGCAGGACTTCCTCGGGGATCTTGGTCTCGACGCGGGTGACAGGCTCCTGGGGGATCTCGATCTCGAGGGTTGACGGCATCTTCTCGGGGAGTCATCGCGCCCAGGGAGGCGGATTCTCCTCGGGGATCTTCGTCGGGGCGAGGGGGAGCGCGAGTAGTATTGTCTGGGCGAGGGAGACTCCCCTCTGAACGCCAGACGGTAGACCCTCGGGGGAGTGTCTGGGGGTGAACGAGAGAGCGCTCGCCCTCTGGGTACGGGCGAGTGGCGGCGGGGCGCCCGGGGACTTGGGGATCTTCGGCGTCTGTGGACTGTTATCTCGGTGGGCGCCACTGGGGCGTTCAGCATCAGGGGATCGGGCGCTGTCCCTGACACGAAATCCTCCAGCAGCATTCCACCACCTCCTGAGGATTTCTTCTTCTTCCTTTTCTTGTGTTTCTTCTTGCCGAGGTGGATGCAGAGGTGGTGGGATGCGTCGGGGAGCTCGACGATCTCGTGCTCATCGTCACTTGAGATTGGGAGGAGACCGTCCGCTTTTGATGCGGGATTTGGGAGGTAGCGAGAATTTAACTCGCGTGGGTAATGGCGATTCTCCTTGCCGTAACCTGCGTCTTTGGGGGGAATAGCAACTTCTACTTGATTAGAATTGTGGTTTGGATGGGGGAGGGGAGGGAGGGAGGACTGACGAAGGGGGGAGGAGGGGGAGGTTGTGGAGTGGCCAGGCGAGGGCTGAATTTATGGCTTCCCAGCTAACAATTTAAAGGGAAATTTCCGGATATTTACAGGTCTTGCTGGGGACTTTTAGATGGCATTCGTAAAAATTGTTCCCTGGGTTTGGGAATGACTCAGTTGGGTCGGTTTGGTGACTTTGGTGAATTTCCGGATATTTACCGGTCTTGCTGGGGACTTTAGAATGACGTCCGTAAAAATTGTTCCCCCGGTGGCGGTTTTAGATCATCAGCTAGTGACGAAAATTTTAAATTCTCACCACTGGCAAAGCTGGTGACGCGAAAAATGACTTATTCCGTTGAAAAAGGACTTGGAAGAATTTTTTTGGTGGGGAATATGAAGATGTGAAGAATATAAAAGGGAAAATTTACGGCTGTAGTAAAAAAAAATACCACAAGACAAGATATTCGCTTTTAAGAGTATATTAGTGAAGATGCTATGTGGGAAATGTAAATACAGGGCGACATGTAAAATAATATTAGCCCATGAAATAGATAAAATTATCAACACAGTGCGACTCGATTTTTCTTTTCAAGTTATTTTTAATATTTTTCTTCACGGCATAAACAATACGGAACTGAATTCGATGCGGCTTTATCGTTAAACCTTCCCCCCTCAAAAGATATTCGCAAAATAAATAAATAAATAATAAATCAATAATTAAAATAATAATAATAAATAATTAATAAATGCATTATCAATTTGTTCAAGTCGAAAACACACTAAAATATAATGTTCGACTAGAAGATGTTGCAGATTTAAAAAAAAATTTTTTAAATCGCCTCTCACCTCGACCAGTCCACAACTGATTCCAATCAAATTTCAATTGTAAATCTCCCACTGTAAAATTTTCGTGACCACAATTCCCCCATAATTTTAAGAAAATCTTGGTCTTTACAATAAGAATTGCGGTTATTGATAAAAAAATCTAATGATTGAACCTTCTCCCTCAAAAGATATTCGCAAAGTAAATAAATAATAAAATGAATAGAAAATTCGTTTCACCAGGGAACATGTCCACCTGGGAACTGAGGAAAAACTAAAAAAAAATGTTGGACCAGAAAAAACCTCATCAACTAAATTGTGAATCTCCCACTAAAATCCTCTCGCCTCCAATTCCCCCTTCGAAAGTCTCCAGAATAAAAGGACAAGTCCAAGGAGTACAAAAGGAATAAGAGAAATAATTCAACTCGTTTTCTGTCATGTTTTACCTCGCAGTGAGTGGCTCCTCCTCGTCGGTGACATCGTGGAGTGACTCCAGGGGACCATGTAGTTGGATTCTCCCTCGTCCGAGGAGCTCACGTCCTCCAACGAGATCTCCCCGTCCTCCTTCTCGTCCACTGTATTCATCCTTCTTCGCAGAGTTGAAAAAAAAATTGTCCTGCCACTCTTCAAATTACGCACATCACCCTGAGAATTCTAACGTTATAAATGCAATTCCCCCCTCCGCCCAACCTGAACTCTTGCATTTACTAGATAGCCAAATATGCTGGCACGATTCTTGGCGATCTATCAAAACATTATTCAACTCGTTCACGAAAAAATCAAAATGGGGGAAAAGGGATTCGCGAGGAGCTGTCTTAATTAATCAATCAATCAATTAATTAATTAATGAGTTTATTTTCATGACGCGGGCAGTCACCCTATTATCGCAAATCTCGATCCACGTGATACAATACAATTTTTTTGCGATTTCACGCATCTTTGAAGTGGCGAAACAGAAAATAATAAAAAATTCGATTTCACACGTTTCTAGTGACGCAGTTATCTCGGGACCGAGTGGTTTTAGGGAGAAACGTCACGGAACGTTTTTTGTGGAGAATTTAATTTCCCGCGAAAAAGGTTCCTTGACATTTTTCTCGGGGACCACTCGTTTTCGGGATAAATGGACTTTTTGGGGGTGAGTTGTCACGTTTTGCAACTAAACAGAATTGAAGGTTAAAATAATATCGTATTTTCGGGGTCTCGTTTGAGGGAATTCTACGATTATTGGTGAGTTTGGTCGAGTGTTCGTGACTCGGTAGTGTGGCAGATGTAGCAATGGCCAGTAGTGTCTTACCAAAATGCTTTCGATTATTATTAGCAGAAGAGAATTGTTGCACGATCCATTTTACGTTCTTCGATCTTTGTGTGGCGCCATGTTTGAGGCTGAACTGAAGTTTTCATTCTTCTCCCCTCCCGTTTTGGGTCGCTGAGTGTCTCGAGTGCATGAGGACTGCCTTTATAGGGCCATTTGAGACTGTTTACGCGCGGAACTGAGCCATGGAGAGTTGAAACGGTTGATATTGTTGGGGAAATCCTTTTGTTTAATTGATTGACTTAGTTGGGGAGTTTTGGGGGCGAGTTTCGAGTGTGGGGGATGTGTTCCGTGGGCGCAACTGCCGGGGCGAGAGATACGGCGAGGAAAGTTGATCTCGAGATCGTTGACGTTTGTCAACACGTGCTGGAGGAGTCAGCTGTGGAATTTCGGAGGGAGAAAAAATGTACTGTTTGATTCAACAGAGAATCTTCATTTGCTTGATGCTATTTTTAGAATTTTACATCTACGAAATCTTTATTAATTTGATCAACTAGAAAATTTCTGGAAGAATAATGACAAATTATGATGAACATTCTGATCAATCATAACACGCATGAAACCAATTCAATAGAATACCTTACGAATTCGCTAGAAAATTCTACAGGAATTTTATTGAAAAATTCTATTTGTTTTTGCGCTGAGTCTATTGGATTTTCAAAAAAAAAACGTCAATAGATTTCGAATTTCTGTTGGAATTTTTCTCTTGAGATTTCTTCTATAAGAATTCTGGGGCATCAATTTTCTGAGTTTTTTCCACTCGGACTTGAAAATTCTCTCATTCATTCGTTGTTTTTCCAACGGGAAAATTTAATTAGTTTCAGATTCAACATTGTTGAAACTCTCCAGTGTCTTCGGTCCGGTGTTTGAAAGAGCAATTGAGCTCCACGAATTGGGGAAATTCACAAGAGTCACTGCATTCGATCCCCAGAAGACTGGGGTTTGGAAGGATATTTATGCAGCTCGTTCATTAATCCAGGTTCAAGGTCTCTCTGGGGAGAGCTACACGATTTTTCCTGACGTCAACTACTGCCCCTGCCCTGCTTTCAAGTAATTTATATTTTTAAAGGAGAATAAGTGATGCAAAAATTTATTGAACAATTTTGCAGCTCTACTGCGCATTTTTTCTTTATAGAGAATGTCCAATAGAAATTATTTCATAGAAAAAATCAGTAGAGTTTGATATGTCTATACAAATTTTTCTATTAAAATATTTTCCCTGTAGAAACTCCTGACGTAAGTTTTCCAATTTTTTTTTCACTCAATTTTATTTTCTCACTAAAAGAATCAAATGAAAAAAAAATGAAAAAGTGTTTAGAAAGTTAACTGATCTTCTCTATAAATATTTACTTTTATTTTATTTAATATTTTTTTTATTTGCACATTTGCTAATAGAACATTCAATAGACCTTCCGTAAAATTTTCTACCATTGCGTCCAAGTTTTTCTGTCAACTTTTTTCGTGCATATTGTCACTAGATTTTTCGCAGAGCCCATGAAATTGCCCCTATCAAGGTCTCTAGAATTCTTTCTGCCAATTTCTACAAAACTGTTTCATAATCTCGTTCATTTCAGATTCCACGTTCTTGGAGATCATTCAGCCGTGACTTGCAAGCACCTCCTAGCCGTCTGGCTTACGAATCTGACTCCAGAGACAATTATCGAGAAAAATATAACACCCACGCATTTTAGAAATCTACTCCTCCATCAAGTTTCCTACGATCAAGATGAACTCACAGAATGAAGAATTCCAATTCGTTGCTAAGTTAGGAAATCTCAGGACTGTCGTGCAACTACTGAGATCTGTCAATTTTCGAGAGGTGAATTACATTCAAACTATACACATCTGAGTTTTTGAGGAATATCTTCGAATCCAAGGGAGATAACGAAATTTTCGTAATGACCTTTTTTGTAGAGCGAATTGAGGGCTACAAAAAAGTTCTCTACAAAATTTTGCCATCTCCCTCAGATTTCGAGATATTCATTAAAAACGGCCAGTAGCCAAAATCGGCTTGGACCGTTTTACCAACCGTTTTCCCAAAAGTAATAAAATTCAACTTTTAATGCAATTCTAGAACGCATTGTGTTTCGCATCTGAAAACGGTTTAAAAATCACAGTAGAGGACTCAAAATGCATTCAGGCAAACGCCTACATCCCCACGAACGTTTTCCAAGAGTACGACCTGAAAGAAGACATGATATTCAAAATAAATTTGACGGTTCTTGTCGAGTGCCTGGGGATGTTCTGGAGCCAGATTTCAGCAGCAGGAACGTCAGTGGCTCTACAAATTTATTACAGAGGCGATGGACATCCGGTGACAGTGCTCATTGAGGAGGATGGAATAATCACAGATTGTTCGTTGAAAACTCAGGAAATCGAGGAACTTCTCGACTTTCAAATTCCACCGGAGAAAGTCCTGAATAAAGTTATCCTGCAGACGGAATTGCTGAGGGATATCTGGAGTGAATTGGATCCCACTTGTGAATTTATTGAGGTCATTATGCTTTATTGAAAATGGGAGAAAAAAGAAAATTCACAATGCAATGGAAAAATCTAGAACTTTCTCGAAGAAATCCTATTGAATTTCTGTTGGAACTCTATAACATTCTCTTGAAGTTCTATAAAAAAATTATATTTATTTTTTGCGTCATTCATTGCGTCTCTGGATATTTTTCTGTAACGAAATGTCTGTTTAAAAACACGCGGGGACGTTGCATAATTTTTTAATAGAGTTGACGCAAAAAACAAATAGAATTCTCAGAGTTCCAATAGAAATTCAATATAAAGTCCTAGAGAAAGCGCTAGGTTTTCCTATTAAATTTTTCATACGTGTAAAAAAATATTGTTAATTTTTACTTCTAGCTATTACTGTCTCCGAAGCCTCCATATTTCCAAATTGGAACGGACGGATTGGCCGGTGAATGCAGGATAGAATTGCCCCACGACAGTGACCTGATCGACAGTTTCGAGTGTAAAACGGAGGCTAGCTTTTACTACAGATTTACCCACATGAAACCAGCGATGAGAGCTCTTGGTTGTGCAAACAAAGTTTCATTGAGGACGAATGACATGGGATTGCTTTGCTTCCAGTACATGGTGAAGACTGATGAGGGGCACACGTGTTACGTGGAATATTACGTACGTGAACATTACAACAGGGAACTTTCATGAAGCTCAATTTTCTAGATATCGAGAAATATTGCCCAGATGTCTTATGATTAATTGAAACTAACTGAAAGTCAGTCGTTTTGAGGCCAATTTTTCGTTTATGACGCAGATGACGCAATTCTATTTCGATATTCAATATTTCAAACGTTTTTGATTGAAAAATCCTTGAAATTCATCTTCTCCCACCACTTAATTACCAATTCAATCATCGATAATCACAAAATAATCGCTAATAATTTCATTTCAGCTGTCTCCAGTGCTGGATACTGACGACTGAAGTAAAAAAAACCCACAAAATCCACCAAAATCGTCTATTGAGTCCTCAAACGTATGTAGACTAGAAATTACTGTACATAAATGTATTTCATCTCAATTAATGTTATCATCATTATCAATATAATTTGCATTAGCATCATATGGAACACATAACGATGGAATTTTCGTATTTTCACAATCCTTTTCTCTTCTGTCTTGCAAACGACGATACAAAGCTCGGGTTACACTGGTCAATTCTCTTCATTCCACTGTCACAAAAACAACACACAATGAATATTTCACTCTTTGTTGACATTCACAATAACTTTATTCACGTAATTCGTGGATACGAATTAGTTCGACAAACGATAATCACCAACGAGATTCGATATTCATAGAGATAGAGGTGAGAGAGGATGGATATGTCTTATTAATTCATTATCGCACATTTCAATGGGTGATTGAAGCATTATCTTGAATTTTTTTAGATTGAATTTTTGATAGTACATTCGAGTATATAAAAGCAGAATGATTAATCGTTTTTTGAATTTCTTTCGCCGAAAATTTGATTTTTAGGGATGTAAAATCAGACGATTTTGCATGCACGAAAAAATTTCGTAGAAACATCCACTGCACTTGATAGACAATTCTACTGGATTTTTATAGGATTTCTATTTAAAACGGGTCAAGTCGATGGTGACTACTGGTCAGTTTCCAATGGATATCTCGGGATCTAAGGCAGATAGCAAAATTTTTGGCATAACCTTTTTCGTGGAGCAGATTAAGATCTACAAAAAAGGTTATTATGAAAATTTACCTATCTCTCTTGGATTCGGAGATAGTCCTCAAAAACTCAGGTAAGAATTAAGTCGATTTGAAACGAACTTTCAAACATTTTAAAAAGGAACGAAAAATTCGGAAAATTTATAGCGAGGAATTTCCGTAGGGAATATTTCAATAGAACGAGTTGTACGAATTGTAAACTCATAGAAATTCTATAGAAATCCAACCAAATTTTCTAGCAAATGTCCCACTAAATTTTTTCGTACGTCTAGTCATTTCATGTTGATTGTCGAATTATTCAGAGGGGAAGAGGTATCTTTACATTTTGCGTAGTTATCATTACCGAAATAACGATCTTATTGATGAAATTCAATTATCTGAACAATAACTTGTACAGGAAAATGTCAGAAGGCATTTTTTTGCATGGACTCCATTTTTTTTTATAAAAAAGAGACATTTTCTCATGACATTTCCTCATAAAAACTCTCATTATCAAGATAATTACGCGAAGATTGACAAAGAAAATTTGTCAATCTCGGTGATGAATTTAATTAAAATAAAATCTCTTGACATTTTTCTTCCATAAATCTCGGAATTAACGATAATTTAATTTCATTAAAATAGTTTCATAATCCCCCCTAAAAAATCCGCATTCTCCATTGAGTTCTACTTCACCAATCACTCAGAAGCATTTACAAGTCGAAAACTGTTTGGATAGAATTTTTGAACGACTACACAAAAGCAAAATGATAGATCACTCTCAATCTTCCTGAATTGTCCCACAATTCGAATAATCCTACATTGCTAATAAGAAAGTTGCCTCCACATTATTGATTTCTATACTTAATTCATATCGCTCGTTAAAGAAATATATAATATTTACACAAGTACATACTTCGGCAATTATCTTAATTAAAACCGATAGATTACAAATATACAGTTATTATTTCAGTCAATTAATTTCTAGAGCACAAGCTCGATGAGTATCAGTTTTACAGATTCAATGATTGAGATTATAAATTGGTATCTTTTTCCACATATGCGACTGATGCGAATTTCATTTGCACAAATGAGTAACTCAATTTAATTCTTGATTGTTCATATCCATCGCATTTTTTATTAAAAAATTTAGTACGAAAATTAGCCACAAGGTCATGATTATCTTTAAACATTCACGTACATTGAAAACAAATTTAAAACAAAAATAGACGATTTAAAAAAAATGAGCAAAGTAGAATTCTGATAAAATGGGACAAATTTTCATCTCGTTTTTTTGTAAATTATAAAATTTTCTTGACAATTCCAACTGAAATCCCTCATTAAGAAAATTATCAAACAATCAACAATTCAATTATTTTTCATCTGAATATTTAATGTTTGTTGATTGTGTAAATATTTCGAGAATGAGAAGTTTTAAGAGAAAATGTCCCTTGAAATTCCCCTAGATCTACTAAATTTGGAAGTGAGCACAGACTAAATCCTCAATCCATTCTGGACTCATCCAATTTTTTACAATTTCACAACAATTAAAACCTAATACTAAGCCCAATGTTTTTCTCTTTAAATTAAGTACTTCGATAAAACTTACTCATTGGCCCTTGTTACGTTAACTAGCGTTGATTGGCATTTATCGTGAAAATACTCGAAAATATTGGCAAATTATTAGTTTCAATATTTCATATTTTACTTGCATTCTTCACTCGTTTTGACATTTTATTGTGACACTAACAGTCTCATTGTTGATTTATCCTTGAGGCAATGGGAGAGGTGTACATTCTGTGTAAATTCTTGGACTCTGCGATACTAATTACAATTAATTACGATTAGTTTTAATTATTATTTCAGTAGTGAAGTGGTAGAAGACAAATTTTGCCCAAATTAAAATGAGGATAATTGCAAAAATAATGGGTTTAGGAGAAAATGCCATAAGACCTTTTCTCCAAAGAATTCAATCATCTTTAAAAAAGATTTTGTGACATTTTTCTCTAAACTGCACGGTTTATAAGATAATCGCGAAATTCTCGGACTGAAAATTGCTAGAGGCATCCGCCACTTTACCACCGATTTTAATGTTCTTCTCAGGTAATTAAGATAATACCACATGATTATTGAAGAAAAACAAAACATAATTAACATATTCATATATGGCATTTGTACAAATCAATAACAGGCAGTCTTTTCGGAGCAATATTTCTGCGCTTTCAACAACGAAAAAAGAAAAAAAATATTTAAAAAAATCTATCTGGGATAATCAAAGAATTTCATAAATTCTGCATTGAATGCTACCGAAAAATCTAACGAAATAAACATTTAAATTTGACAATTAATATTTACAATTATCGATATTTGATTTTACGTTAAATTTCAAATCGACAGAATTTCCTCTTAAATATTCTCGTTTACTGATGAAAAATATATATATTTGTTTATGTATTGTATGATTTGTGCATAATCATTTGAGAAGATCCAAGTGTGACGAAATCCAATGGACATATCGATATTTTGTGAAGTGTCTTTCACGTTCCACTAAGCGTATTTCACGTTAAAGAACTCATAAATTTCGATCTTAATCGATTTTATGATTTATTGAATTTGACGCTTAATCCGAAATGTTCTTCAATTGCCATTTCGTTTTACAGAGCCCTGGAGTCTCCAAAAATTTTGATTGTAGAATAAAAAAAAACGTTGAAAAAAACTGAACATTTTCAAAGAGCGTTTTTGAATAATATTGGAAAATAAACCCAATCGGGAGGAAATTGTAAATTAATAATTTACCATTTTCTCTCTGTTGGACTTATTTCCTAATCTTTATTAAAAATGCTCATTGAAAATGTTCAGTTTATCATCTACTTCTTTTTATTGCGCAATCATAATTTTTAGGGGCACCTACGTGCTGTAAAATCCCGTGGAAATTGTGATATAATTTATATTATGAAGATGGAAAAACAATCGAGACTTTCGAAAGATAATCCATGGAGGACTATGAGGCAAACTCCTTGGATCCCCCCAAGACTTCCATTCTCTTCTCTAGGCGAAAAATATCATCTTTACAATTATGCGGTTTGAGCCGAGGCTTTTCAATAGATTACAGCCTAGTGCAAGGTAACAGGCAGATCTTCAACCAAAAGACGAAAAAAAGTAAACCAATCGAAACTATGTACAGATTACGTGGAAAATTCGTATACAGCGATAAGTTGAGCCTAATAAAAATTACGTTTTGTGTTATTTTCCTTCTCGATGGAATGAGTCGATAGAATGTTAATTTTCCTTGAGGCGTATTGAAGCATATAAATAGGTATTTAAAAAATATATATCTTTTATTCAGGATGACTGACCAGACGATAGCCAGATGTTAATCTTCTCTGTATCCACCGTCAGAGAAAACTGTATGTATTTTGTACTGCTCTACCACTTGTAGATGCCTGTTGATCAGCATTCTGCTGCTCCAGTCTCTCTAGCGACTCCATTCGAGTCCTTATTGATCCACCGTATGTCTGCACCTTAAATGAACATAAAGAAACAGCTGGAATTAAAATTCATTCACGAGATACACATGGACAACAAAAATTTCATTGAAAAAATTGGTGCATTTGCTAGGAAATTAATGGAACTAATTTTTTTATAGAACTTATTGTATTGAGATATTTTGTATCGAAATTTGTGGACCTGAATTTTCCTAGGATTTTTGTTCAATTTTTTTCATGAGAGGAGACAAAAATTGAGTGAAAAAACTTGACGAATTGTTGTCGAGGGAATTTTACAGAAAATATATCAAACGGGTAAGGCATAGAAAGATCGAATTTTATGTTTTTTTTTCTATAAAATAGTTTTCTATAAAATGCGCATTTCAGATTCCCGTTCGAAAGATAATACGCGTGGACAAATGACAATTTTCCGCACGAGAATCCTAACTAATTCGTGACTAAACATTGATTGAGTCAAGAGCCTGATGAAGCTAAAATATATTTAGCGAAACGTCGCACCCCTGACAATTAGATCAGTCTTTATTTCTCCAAAAATCCGTGACTCCAGGATTAATTTGCATCGCTTGAAGACGAATACGTTTACTGATTTCATTAAAACATTTGTGTGAAAGCGAGCCCCTTCCACCCACGGTCGAATCTCTCAATATTTAATCAACTGGTCCATGTAATTGACTCTGGGGCGTCGCTTTAGGCGTTTTTTTTAATCTACTCACTGTCTGTAGAAAAATCAGACTTGAGACTGTGGGAGTCGGCAACTCGCGCTCACTCGAGAGGTGTGAGACTTCCGCTGCTGACTCTTACTTCTCTTGGCTCTGGGGCAGCTGCTGGTCTCCTCTCCTGAGCTGGCTGGGCATTTGTCGCTGCCACTGGGTGCACTGGTGGTCTCGTCAGGTGTGTGGCCAAGACGAATTCAGTTAGCATCACATCAGCTGTTCCACCGGACTCCAGAGGTATTGCATTCTGGCGGAAGTGGTCCAGCATGTCCAGAATGGCTGGGAAACACAGGTGTTGGACGCGACAGTGGCCCTGATCGTTCAGTGTCATTCGAAGGTGCTGGAAAGAATTTTGATTGAGAAATTATTGTGGGAATGGAGTCGTGAATGACGACGACGTATTTTCAATTACGTATGAAAAATAGAAAAATCGAATTATATTGAGTTTTTCAATAGAATATTTTCTATTGAACATTTCAAGAGAATCGTCCAAGAACTAGAAAGTTCAATAGAAATCCAAATTTTTTAAAGATTAAAAACACGTATATGTAATGAAAAAAATTGAAGTGCTCGGGATTTGACTCCAAATAAATATTCAATAATGGTTGATGAAACCTAATTTGAGTAAAAATCCAATGGATTGTCTAGATCTTCCTATTAAATTTTTTCATACGCCATAATACCCCACAATTATGGAAAGAATTCTATTTTTCTTTTCTTTTCATGAAGAAAATAAAATAAAACACAAATTCTATAGAAAATATCTCAATAGCATCGGCTAAAAACTCAAACCAGAAACATCTAGGCAATATTTCTCCATAATTATCGCCCTTTAGCTATCCATATGTCACGAAGAATGTGTGAATAGGGAAATTAGAAAGAATTGAGTTTCATGCAAGTTCCCTATTGTTAACACTAGATAAGAAATACCTTTGCTCTCCCTTGGAAATTGAAGGTAAGAACAAACTCCCCCTTTCTAGTTTCGCTCTGTCGAACCAAAAACACCCCATGGCCATTGGTGGCACTGTGAAGCACGAGTTGTGCAGCGTCCGATCGTGGTAATGTTCCATGGAACCAGGGATACTCTCTCAGGCTCACAGCAAGGTCCAGTTCTCCTTCATTGGGCACTAAAAAAACCAAAACCGATGTTTCAATTTGCATTACCATAAACCTGTCAATTTCAGACACATTCGCAATGAAATATCAAGGAAACTCCTCTCGAAATACATTTATCAAACGAAATATTGAGATATCTGGAGGCACCTTACGACTTTTACCTCTTGAGCAAACATTTACTGCTAACATCTCGCCTCAGATAATCAGACTCTCCACATATAAACGTCAGATGTCTGTAAATAAACACTTTTCGAGAGTGCGAGTAATTTTTTAGGTGCATCTATCCCAGCATAACAACCTTAGAAACCAGTTTTGATGCGATCTTTTCGGTGGAAATAAAAAATCAGTTCTGAGGGAAAATTAATATCTTCATGTACTTTAGATACTCATGATAATGCAGATATTTTTATGGGAACATTTGCGCTGAGAGAATCAGGGGAATGATGACGACGTCTTTCGAATCATGTATGAAAAATTTAATAGTAGAACCTAGCGAATTCGCTAGACAATTGTTTGATTTATATCGGGGATAGCCATATCCATAAATTATAATTACCGTTACATTGTCGAGTAGCCAATTCGTTAATATCACTCTTAAATTTTAATTATTGGAGTAATCATCAGTTTAAATATTGTGTTTAAATACTGATTATATGGGTGCAAAAAATGTGAAGAAAAGTGATAAATGAATCGTGATAATTAATAAACTTACATTGCTCAATTTCTTGTTGAGAAGAGCACAATTCCAAATTGCTGTTACTCTTTGTTCTGAGTCTCGGAGGCAACTCTGGAGGATTTCCCAGTTCATTCCCGTGATCGTGAGCAGATCTCGAGGATTTGCTGGCCGAGTTGGCTCTCAATCTGTCCCCATCGCTGCCTCCAGCGGCTCCGTGGCCAACTCCATCAGTAGTGTCATTGGTATTGGTACTCATGGAGTTCAAATGTGCGTTTCTCATGCAATACCTGATGAATAATTTATTGTAACCATTAACCAATTATAAATTTAATCACTGATGAGTTTTACTGCCAGCTCATTATTTAAAAGCAAAGCTTTAATGCTCAGGGGAGAGTGGGGCAAAGTGGCCACTCGACTCTTTTCAAGTGATAATAATTCATTGAACGGTTGATAAAACGGAATAATTTTTTTTCATCGTGAAGTACAATTTTTCGGTGGCCCGTCTCATTATCCCTGACAATTTTTCCCCAACAGAATTTCCCTGACATTTCTTCTCCTCCTGCTAACACTAATTTTTCCCCCTTTTATTTTCGTGTTTTTAAGTTTTAAAAACGAGTAATTAGTGCAAAAAAATTAATTTTTATTGCCCGTTTACTCCGCAGACGCTTAAAATGTTAAAAATAGTCCAGGACCTTCAATTTTTGAGCTACCGAGTTTTTTTTTTCTTCAAAATTTTTGAAAAAATGTGCACAATAATAATAACAAATTAGTTTTTTGAAAATCGACTGCTACACAGCTAATTTGGGTTTTTTAATATAAAAATTTGTGTCATTTATGTAAAATAGCCCGAAATAATCCATCTACTAACGCTACTACAACACTGAAAACCCCTTCGTTATTTTTTTATCATCTCGGCAATATAACTACATAATTGCAATGGAATAATTGACACGATTCTGCATGTAAAAAATATAGAATCATTGTCAATCCCTTAATTAAGGAAAAATGTGAAGCTGAAGGCAAAAATAATAACTCGGAATTGCTTCCAAAAAAATATAAAATATTTGTCCATGGTGTAATCATATAATCGTAAATTTCAGGAGACCTCTTTACAGTTCATTAAATTTTCTACGTAAAAGGTCTTCCTGCTACTTTGAGAAGGCATCTTCCATTTTATTACAGTCATTGGAATTTTTGGCCAGTCCGTCTGTCTGCTTCCGCATTCTCTCCAATACATTACGAGTCGGAAGCCCATAAAATGACACGAAATGAATTCAGTAGCGAAGAGGTAAAATGTAACAATTCGACTCATTCCTTAGTTAAATTCTCGAAGAAAATTTTGAAAAGGAAAAAAAAAATTAATCGAAGGTTAAAAATTATTCATTGATGTTTCACTCTTCATTCTCTTTAAGTCATTATAAATATTTATAAAACATCTGTGAGTATATGAAGTGTAATAAATTCGATTTTTTCATTTTTCACAACGAACAGATAAGCGCGCGCCACAGGTTTATTTATTTTTTTAAATTCATGTAAAATAGTGCGAAAAATGTTATTTTAAATATTTTAACGATAATTTTTCTGTCTATTTGACACGAATGGTGCAAATTTTTATATTAAACAAAACGGAATTGACTGTGCAGGAATCGAATTTCAAAAACCTAATTCGTAATTATTATTGTACGTATTTTTTCGAAAATTTTGAAAACAAAAAAATATCTGTAGCTCAAAAATTGGAGGCCCCGCACCTTCAACATTTTAATAATTCAAGTACTGTCAACATTTTAACAATAAACAATTAATTTTTTGGATCTTCAATACAAGAGAAATTTCACTCCAATAGAAATGAAAACAAAACTGTAATTACACCAAAGTTTACCTGATGGTCGCCAGCCACGACCTCATGTCCGCCGAGTCATGCGCCTCAATGACGAACTCAGCGGTCTGTGTCTTCAGGACAAACGTATTCTCATGATCCGGCATCTCCAGGGCCGTTGTCTCCCTGGCCTCAGTGATCGCTGAGCAGAAAACCCCGTCCCGAGGCTTGACAGCCTTCGGTGGTGAGTAAAACTCCAGCATGTAGCCGCCAATGGCCTTGATCAGAGCCAATCTCGACTTCTCCCATTTCTGTGTACCATCGGGGTTCTCTCCCATAAGGGAGTTGACGACTCCCTCCTTCCTGCACTCGACCACAATTTTCGAGAGCTTGGACTTGGAGTGCTTGTCTCGCCTGTCATTAGGGATGCAAAATCACGGTAATTTTTGCCATGCACTCCTGACTTCACGCATACCTCGTGATACTGACTAGTCAGTAATTTTGTTTCCGAAGGGAAGCATTGTAATCGTTCACATTTAAGTTTTCTATTTTTTGTGTTATGACCCATTATGATCCCAAAAGTCCGAAGATGCATTTTTTAGACGGTGTCCGTACGTTCGTATGTATGTATGGCAGGTACTGCTAAGCCCTATCCATCGCCATTAATTAAAATTTAATTCATTGATTAATTTTTTTAATTTTCGAATTTTTTCAAATTCAGTTGTAACACGATAACTAAAAAAATGTTCTAAATTCATTGAATGACGGCTTGGAAAATTCGTTGGAATGTCCTTTTGACCGAGTTCGAAGATGAAAGCGACAGCAATAATCGTTATTTTGATTTGTCAAATTTTTCCAAAATTTCGTATTTTTCGAAAATCAGAATTCCGCAGATATCTCTGGATATTGCGCTTGAAGTGAATTCAATCATAGCTTAATATGTGTTTCTATGCGACTATATGATTACAATAAATCGGGGGGCTGGTCACTTCTCAATCGGTTGGCTCAGTGATTTCCAGAATGGAATAATTTCCTGTGATTTCTTGAATGATTCTGTGATTTCTCAATAAAAATTGGAAGTCATGATTTCTCTTGATTTTCCGCGATTTCCATGATCTCCAGTAGATTTTGATGATTTCTTGAACTCAATTAAATTAATTAAATTAATCAAGGATTTCTCAATTTTCTTCTTGAAATTGAGAAATCCTTAATTAATTTCAAGAAGTCATCAGAATCAACTAGAAGCTCGAATAAAAAATGAGGGTTTCACATTCATCGATGATTTCTAATTATTTCTCAAATCATCTGACTTCTTCATGATTTCTTCCTTTTTTTCCAATCGAGTGGCCCAGTGATTTCTAAAGTGACCAGTCCCTCGGCTCTTTGTCACTCCTACCTGTGATCGCTGTGCGACAGCTCGACCTCATCGCTCTGCTGCTTGTGAAAAAAGCCTTTTCCCTTCTTCAGACCCTTGAAGGAGAGCCGACGGAAGAAGGGCTTGTGCGCTGGTTTCGGGGAGACTATGTCACCCTCGTGCTCGGAATAATCACTGAACTCTTCGTGAGACGAGGCACGAATGGGGACTCGATTGTTATGACTAGTTGAGTTGGTCACTGGGTGACGAGTGTCGTGGAATGACGGAGATCTGGAAATTTATTTTTTCCATTTGGCGTGAACACATTAATTTATTTTACGCATTGCATACGCAAAATCCCACTGTCTGCTCATTGCAACGAAGTTAGAAGGTTTTGCCGACGGGGGAAAAACCCTTTTTTGCCACTCAGATAAAATCTCCATGAAGTAAGAATTTAATGCACGGGAAAAACGCTCAACGACAAATTTTTTTGGCTTTTTCAATCTGTTTTTTCTCGCTGCACTCAATGGCGCGACTGGAGTTTATCCATACTACTTTAAGAATATCCAAGTATCTTTTACAATTTGGTACAGACCACACTGTAGATTCCAATTTTCAATCATCAAATTTGTCAATTAAATTGCGTAAGAAAAATTTTAAAAAATTTGAAACCAGCAGAATATTCGTCAGCGAAAAATTCAGTTTAGGGGATATTTAAGTGCGCAAATGTTTTTCGAGTGCGAAAGAGTTTGTCCATTACTTAAAAACATTTGTATCCCCTAGATTCGCCTAAGACAAATCTCTATCTCAATTTTTTCCCCCTAAATCGCATTCAGCCTCACTGCCCTTAAAATTACTAGTCAATTGCGCCCGAAATTTCAGTTTTTTTTTCAATACTGCAACCCTCTCCCCAAAAAATTTTCCCTCCCCCTCTCCCCGCCCCAACAATCCACCCCAAAAAAAAAGAAAACCCACCTGGCACTTCGCCGGAGATACTCGCTCTCGAAGTGTTCGCAGAAAGTGTCAATGAACTTCCTCAAAAAATCCCTGTGCGATAAAGTGGCCCTCGCGCTCTCCGGCAAATTGAGACTGACATAAGTGCAGAAAGCCTTGGCAAAATCGGAGGCGGATGCGCGGGCGTGTCTGTCGCAGAATTCCATCCAGTCGTCGGCACCCTCAGGCGTCCCGACGGCGTTGTTCGCCGCGGCATTGCCCGTGTTCCCCGCCGATGCGTTATAAACACTCATAACAACACGTCTCACTCCCCTCGCCCCTCAAAAGAGAAAAACCCCCAACGAACCCCGAAAAAAGAGTGCCCCGAGCGCTCACCCCTCCGTCATGTCAATAAAAAAAAGCCCACAAACCCGATGAATTAATTCCTCCGCGGGTATCACTGGACTCAACACCTCACGCCCACATGTTCCCCCATCGAATCATCCCAACCTCAATCAATTGGCTCGATCAGTCAGAATAAATCATCACGATACATTTTTATAACTGCAATTGCACTCATTGGTAATCGTTACACACGAGTGAACGACTGAAGCACTGTCTGCAGACATTCCAATCGACGATGCACCTGTTCCACGGGATCAATCACATTGTACACCGGGGTAACAACCCACACACCCCCACGATCACCTCAGCCACCCCCTCGCCCCCCGGGACGCGCCGTCATCCCTCAATGACGATTTTAAAAAATGTCTCGGCAACGAGAGGACGAGGGCAACACTGCAAAAGGCGATTTCGATTTAACTTTTTTATCCCCAGAATTTTCGATTCCTCCCCTTTACCCCTTGCGAGAGTTTTTCAGCAGCGCGATTTTTTTTTCGAGACCACACTTTATACGCAGCCGACAGTGGCGCCGTATTCAAACGAGTTTATCCAGGATTTAATTTCGTACCGAGGGTCGAGGGGTTATTGCGGGCAACTGGGGGTTATCGCGGGGTATTTCCGGGGGATTTGGGGGTATTTAGGGGGCCTCGGGGGGTCAATGTCGACAGTGACTCGGCGATAACTTTTTTAAAACGCGTCTACGTCGTACGGTGGCACCGGCGCTTCCGCCATTACTGGGAGAAATGCTCGATTAGTCGATGGTGAAGGGTGTATCGATATTTTGAATCGATGAGGGAAAGTCGTTAGTTGGGGAGGGGATGTAGCGATGGATCGTTTTCGGGATGTCGATATTGAGGACATCGAGATGAAAATATCGATTGTTGGGGGGCGGGGGCAAAATGGGATACGTACGAAAAAAATTTGATTTTGATTTTTAATTGAAAAAATTTATTCTGGTGCGGCATTTTCTATAGAATTGCTTCGGGTCAAATTTTCTAGGCTTTTTTCATTATTTTTTTCTTTTTTTTTCATCAAGAAAATTAAACAAATCAAGAAAATTAAACAAACAACTTGGAAAATTCGAGTCGACAAAATGAGAGCTTATGGGAAATAGTATATTTCGATACAAGCGAGCCGGAATTTTCGCGAGTGTGAAGTTGGCGGAATGAAAAAATATCGATATCGGGGATGAAATATCGATTCCTCCGAACAATCGTCCCAGAAAAATCGATAAAAATCCATTATCGGACCACAAAACATCGATATTCCTAATAATCGATGTCAATCGAACTCTCCAGTTTTGGTTGCGGGGGCGAGCAGAAGGTGGCGTGTGGCGAAGCTTTTCGCAGGGGTGTAGCGAGAGATGGGGCTTCCCCGCGATTTCTGTCACCCTGAGTAATCGCTTAAACGCTAATTAAATGTAGTCGGAAGACCCGTTGATGAGGGAGAATTTTTCCCCAACGTTTTTTGTGAGGCAGCGAGTGGAGGAGTGTTTTCGCAATAAATTCTGCCGCAATTTTACTATTTTTCCTTCGGGTTTTCGTGCTTGAGGCTACGTCAGTGGCCCGACATAACGGACACAGCTCCTCATACCGCGAATCTGTATCGGCATTGTGATTATTATCCTCGGGCTACGATTTTTCATCGCATGGTGGATGATAGAATTGTGGAAATTGACATTAATTCAGTTCGATCAACGAGGGACGCCCAGATAGCAGGGGGAATTCGATTATTTCGGAGTGAAGGGGATTTTTGGGTTTTGTCGGACGGTGAAAGGGGTGCACCTGTGTGGAGGGGTTTATTTTTGTCGAGTTAAGGATTTCTGATCGGTGGGCAATGGAGCACGCTGGCGAGGGTGACGGAGGCGGCGATCGTCGTGGCGCAGGTAGGGGAAGAGGACGCAACTCCTGGACACCTGGCACTGAGCATCAGCAGTTGAGACGTCCACAGATCCCCAATCAGACGGGTAATTATCTGCTCCTGCCGGGGGATGGGGGTGGTTAACCTCAATTTTTCGGGGCGAGGTGGGTTTAACCTTTCTTTTTTTGCATTTTTTTTCGGTGGGGCGCAGGGGCCGTTCATCAAATCAACGAGATGTTCAACAATGCTTCGATTAATGATGTGGTGAAGAACTCGGAGCTCTCTGTTGATGCTCCGGAATTTGTGCCCAAGGGATTCGTCGCTCCACAGCTAAATGTAGGGTTTGTTGCACAGATGGAGGCGTTTTTGGGGCCGGGGCGCGGTGGGGGTCTGGCGGTGACATGGGGGCTAGATAAATTGTTTTTTTTTAACTGGTGGACAGTTTTCTGCTTGTTGATCACTGTTTTAAGTCATCAATTGTTGGTGATTATTCGGGAATAATTGGGAAAAATATTCAGGAGTCGTTGAGGATTTTTTGGGTGTTGTATGGGTTTTTGTCACTTAAAAAAAAATTATTTTAGTTTTTAATAAATCTTTACTCTCTTAAATTCTGTCATTATCGAGACAAATGGGGGTCAATAACCATTGATGTAGATTTTATTTGCAACTGATAGTGTGGTTTTTTTTCGAGTCGAGTGGGATTTTATTTTTAACAGATAACTTTGTTCATTTCTTCGTCTCACGAAATATTCCCCTGAAAATAATCATTACACATATAAATTGAATTGCGATGATATTCAGCAGGGCCAAGGCTGGCCGAGACACTCGGTGCAGGAGCGTTTGACTGCAGCGAGGAGTGGTCAGGGGATGCCCCATGCCCATCATCATTATGGCAGTCATCATCAGTACCCTTATCACGTCCAGCAGATGCCGTACCATCACCAGTATGGAGAGTCAGAGCATCCCTCGCAGTCTTACCAGCGATATGAGAGTGGATATGGGAATTATGACAGGAATCAAGTGAGCAATATTTCATAATACCTCTACAAAAAATTGACAATAACAATTACGAATCATTTTTTTGAAATTCGCGTCCTACACAGCCAACTTCGTTTAGTTTAACATAAAAATTGGCGCCATTCATGTAAAATAGGCATAAAAATCATTCTTAAAATATCTGAAATATATTCTCGATTTTTTCATAAACTTTTTTCGGGCCATTTCACATGAATGATGCGATTTTTTATTAAAAAAATAACGAAATTAGCTGTGTAGGAGTTCCAATCCATTTCCACTAGTTTTTAACAATTAATTTCTTTGCACTCATTCTTCATTTTACGTACATAATCATCCTGAACCTCTCGTTCCAGGGTCCCCGTCTCCCCGAGAACTCTCGAGTCGACCAGACCCTGCAGGGCTCCCTCTCCCACCTGTCCACAGCGATGCAGACCCTCACCCGCAATCCGGATCAATTCGATAATCTAGTCGTGCCACTAGTATGTACCATAACTCCCCACTTAAAGAACAAAGAGAGCACCGAGGCAATAGTGAATGCAATCATTCAAAAATGTATAATCGACTCAAACTTTCGATACAGTGGAGCGCGTCTCTGCTCTCACCTTGACGCCGTGGAGACGCCTTCAAAAGACAATCCCTCAATATTCAGAACAGCTCTGTACGAGCGTTGTCGCGATGAGAATGACAATCAGTCGACAAATTGGCCGAAGATTGTTGAGCACACGCCCGATGACGAGCGCAAGTGTCACGGTTTGATGCTGAGCCTTGCTGAATTAGTTGCCCAAATGGACTCCCATCCAGCCTCAATTCTCGGCAAAGTCCTGGTGGACCTGATCTCAAATACACTGAAGAATCCTGGCCCCAACTCAGCCAAGTACATCTGCCAATCACTCAAGTTGGCTGGCCAGTACTTGGAGCGCGACAGCACGACAAATCGCCAGGAGATTGAACGAGTCATGAGGGAGCTCACTGATCTCGTTACAAAGGGCCAGGTTGACGTGCACGTTGGGAGAATGGTGAACAGTGTTCAGGAGTTGCGCAGTGTCAACTGGGGGCGTGGAGTCTCGTTCAATGATTCAGTAGCTGTCGATGTCAATCCTGGAAATGTTCAGGTGCAGCAGAAATTGAAGCCGTCGTCTCAGCAGGTGGATGAGCCTGTTCTTTATGGACCTGATGGCATGGTACTGTCGGCTGAGGAACGACGCTTCTGCCAGGATCTCTCCAGTCACGATGCCGGGGACGACTGGGCATCGTCCTTGGAAACCCCGCAGCAGGAGGAGGATGAGGACGACATGATTGCTGATGCTTATGAAGAATTTCTCAAACTCGCTCCCAATAAGAATGATAACAGCAATGTCAACAGGGGGAAATAGCGAGGGGGGGAGTAATTTGGGGCTGGCTTCCTCCAACGTTGAATTTATGTATTATTGACGTCGATGATTTTTCTCAGGGCGAGGAAGGGGAGTGGGGGAATTTAACTGGGGAAGATCATTTTTTTAGGATTGGCACGAAAACTTGTGAATGATTTTTATTGAACTCTGTTTTTTTTTTCTATTGAAAAATTCACAGCTCATCGCCGGTTTTTTGTAATGGAAATATTCAGGGGAGAATGCTCTATCGGAAAAACGAATGAAATTGAATTTTCACAACTTATTCTATTGATTTTTTTCAGTAGAAATTTCTCGTCTCAAATTTTCTATTTCTTCTATTCTATTTCTTTCGAGAGAATGCCCAGTCGAATTCTCCTGTTATTTTCGTCACTCTCCTGGTGGTCTGAGGGATGAGCTATTTAAACGATAAGAAAAATATGAAAATTTGATGTCACAATTCACCACACCGTGGACACCAGCTGCTTTTCAGAGTCTCCAAGGGAGTCATGAGTTTGAAAATTAAAGAAAATGGAGAAAACAATAGAGAACATTTTTGCTGTAACGAGAGCATCACGTTTAGATTAAGGGATTTTGTTTTTATATTGAGGAAAATGAAATGTTTGTAAGAGGCATCTAAACATATATGTATCTGGGGCTAAGGCCCAATATTGCACCTAGTCGGTTCATATGTAATGTAATTTAACAAGGATTAATGGATTAAATCTGGATTAAATTTCAATCAATTCAATATATTCAAAACGATGACAGCGTCTGTTTTGTATGAATTTTAAAGCGAAATATGGTAATTGTAAATCAATAAATATTTTTTTTCCGTTTTTAGGAGGCCAAATATGAGTTCTTTTTTTATTTTCGTTACTGTTGGAGATTAAGGCCCGGATACCCCCCACCATTTGCTAATATTTAAATGAGTATTCACTTATTTGGTCGATAACTGCATGAATAATAGCGATTTTCGGTCATTTTCAATACTTGTCTCAATGAAAAAATTAATAACCGCCGAACTACGGCGAAGATTCACACACGGAGAGAAATGTTCAGTAAAAATTACGGAACTCACGGAAAACGCGGAAAATTTAAGTGACGGTATCGTATTTTTTTACAATAGATTTTTTTTTAATTACGGAATTCTGGAAAAATTCCGGGACAGTTCCGTAAAATTTTCTACAGCCACATTGCACTCCGGAATTACGGAAACGATACGTAATTGTTATTGAATATTTCTCTCCGTGCACATATTCTATACCTATCACAAATTTCGCTCGTCAATTTGTGATCTGAAATTATATTTCGTTGGTAAAGGAAATTCACTTCTATTGAAAGATGAAAACAAGTCCGTCAAAACACACACGAGAGTCAATAGAAGAATTACTGCTACATCAGTATCTGTCAGCGAGCGATGTAAATACCCTGATGTTTTCACACTTCTACCGAGCGAATTTCGAGGGAAACCGGGGATTCAGGAGTCTTTTGTCACTTTAATTTTCATTTCTTCACCAGTCGGGAATGAGAAATTGAAGGGTACGGTAAACAGGTGAATTTCTGGACGCGTTCAACTTCCATTGACCATTTCCATAAATAATAAAATGAAAATTGTACTGATTATTTCACCTTTCAATACTATCACTCATGTAGAGTCCTGTGATCAATTATTTTTTCTACCGATCGACATTTAACAAATAAAAAAATATGGCCCAGTCGTCCAGAAACTGAGGGTTTTGGCTGTATTCAACTACTTCTTCATTTAATTATTATTTGCTTTGTTATTTCGACTTCAAATAATTTTTTTCTGCCAATTAAAATACTCTTGAAGGTGTGGAAGCCATTTAGGTGATTTTTTTGCTTCAAATTCTTCCACGAAACTCGAATTTCCCTTAACCGTCCAGCACTTGGCCTGCATGCGTAGAATTCATAGAGCAATTGATTTTTCGTGTCACGTATTTTTATTTTCATCAGCAAAAGCTGTGGCTGTTCTACAAAAATCCAAATAATTTGGAAGTGTAAAATATATTTTTTATTCAACGATTGTAACGAGTGCGTGAACATTTCCGGAAATCGTGCAACGAATTCTATTGTTGATTCTAAAGTAATCGAAATGTGAATAAAGTTGTGAATGTGAATAAAATAAATTATGGGCGGGTGGAATTATAGGGCTCAAGTGCAGTAAATGTAAAAGGGGGTTTCATTTCTAGTAGTGTTACCAGTAAATTGAGTGGAGGAAAAGCATGAACGGGAATTATAGGAAAATGAGGGTCACAGGGCTCAATTGTATCAGTTTGGCGTGGTTTAATGCTCGATTGTTCACCGTAAATGGAGCACCATTCAGATTTCATTTGGTTGGATTTGATCCGTGTGAGGCCTATGAGATTGGGAGAATTATTGAGGTGAGCTTTCAGTTTATTTGAGGTATATCCCTAGAAAACACGTTCTTCGTGGCGCCCGTTCGCTAGTAGATGTCATAGATTTCATAGATTTCATGAATTTTTTTTTTGTCACTGATTTAGGCTTATGGAGGGAAGTTGTCGCACCCCGATTCCCCGGACACTTTCGTTTTCCGTGACCCGGGTCGTCCAGTTACCGCAGAAAAATACGATCTTTACAATATCAAATATTTTTACGACAGCATTGTTGCACTGCAACGCCAGGATTTAATCAACTACAGGTGAGTAGTTGTACTTGTCAAAAGAATGAATTTAGTTATATCAAATAAACAATTTATTACTTTCAAATAAAATTTTTATTAAATTAAAAAAACCATTTCTTTATTCTAAATAAATCATTCATGAAAATCAAATAAACGAGTCATTCATTTCAAACAAAGAGATTTCGTGCGAAAAAGGTGAATAATGACATTCATCTGGAATTCATATAAAATGCTTGTAATCACAATTAAATTAGCAATGAATTTTCGTAGAATTTTTTGCGATTTCAAAAACTATATTTCGTCTTTTTGAAATCAACTCATTCATTCGATTCAAATCTCTAGGCTTCAGGTGTCAACGAAGCAACCCAATTCGAGCTTCATGAACAGTGGCTCAACACACTCGTGGCTGAAAAAAAATCACTTTGATCAGCACCAGGACTCAATGGATTACGAGTAATTTCATGCAGAATAATTCATCAATATTTTATTGAGAATTCTTTCACTCGGTTTTTCCTTTCTAGGAATCAGATGTCCATAGATGAATCGTCCAGTGGTTTTGCAGATGACGATCAGTGCTCTCAGTGGGAGATCACTGAAGAAAACAATAACAAACTTCAGGAATCCATGAACTACAAGTAAGTCAATGCAGAATCATATTTACATATGAGTGAATCCGCTAATTCTGTACGTGAAAAATTGCCTCAAAATTTTTGAAGTTTTTTTCCCATTTTTTTTTCAAAACTAGAATAGGTCGCGCCGTCGATAGGTTTTTATAGTGCAGATTTTCAAAAAATGAGTCGGATTCGTATGAATTTTATTCTTTTCAAATTTTACAGTAGATTAAACAATAAAACAGTGAGAAAAATTTTCAGAGTGTTATAATATATTATATTTATATTGTATATATACATTTATAAGCCAGAACAATAATAATTTATGTACCAGAAATTTGAAATGAAGAAACGGCTAGAATTGTGATGACAAAAAAAAACTTAGACTTGAAATTCACTGACAATTTTTTACTGTGCACTCTCGTGAACGTCTAGGCTTCGAGCTCCCACAGACGAACGATCCACGAGTCCTGCAACTGACGATCAATCGGCGATCTCCCACAGCAATGAAGAAAGTAACATTTTCTATGGGGAAGATCGAACCGCCGAGCGCTCCTCCAGTGCCGACCCCCAGGAAGAGCTGACAGACGACGAGAATTCCTTCACAGCAGCGAGAACGAGAGTTTATTCTCGTGAAACCAAGAGTTTCGCCGAAGTTCATCGCTTGACAGAGAATAAACCTGAAGTTACAAGCACAGAAGGTGAAATCAACCGTCAAGACAGGGATAATTCTAATGAAACCGAGAATGAAAACTACGAAAGTTCTTCCGACGACGGAGATCCTGAAGACTCAGACGCAGAAGACTTTTCCAAAACCGCGGACGACAATCTCAATCCGGAAGCTGTCGTGAATGACGAATTTACGCGGTCGAGCCGTCGTCGTCGCTGCTCTTCATTGGGAGGACAGAGCAGCGAGAATAAGTATGTGGTCCAGTCAATTTAGATGTTGACCCCTAAGAAAATCAGCTGGCAATGAAAAAATACCAGTCGATCCGTAAAAATATCGGGAATATTCAAATTAATTAAAAACTATCGACTTTATGAGGCGCAACGCCAAGAACTTTAACTGCGTAACTTTAGGTCATTCAATTGACGAGAAAAAAATGATTTCGAGAAATGTCGAGTCTCTCAGTGTCAAAGATCCAATTCTATTGGGTAGTGCTCATGCTAACCCTCATTAGAACCCTCGTGACCCTTGAGAGAATTTTCAATAGAGTTCGTACCTCGTAAAATATTCGCTTAATATTATTTTCCCAATGCTTCTTTTCCTGATAGACGTGCGAGATGGACTTTCACTGAAGAAGAAAATGAAAAGATCATGAACTGGGTCATAGAAAAGGAAGTAATTCCGACAGATACAGGAAAAAATCTTTGGCAGGAGTTTCTAGACGAAAAGGTAATACATGTCCATTCCACCTTCAAATGTGTGATAACGAAAATTCGATTCCTAATGAATAAATTCTATTGTCACCTTTCTCTCGAAGCGAAAATTGATAATTCACTGAAAAAAACCGAAATGTTCTAAAAATTTTATGAGAGCTTGGTCTCACGTACTTCTCCTCAAGACAAAAAAAATCGCCAAGACGGAAACGAATTTTTTTTCATTTCGAATCTGACGTGGAATTGCTGAACTAAAAAACGGAAAAAAATTTGAACTTCGTCTTCCAGATTCTGCCTGACATAAATTGTGGCCCAGCATCTCTAGCACGACATTACGCGAATAAATTGAAGAATCATCCAACAATTGAGAAGTACAGGGAGGAAGCAAAGGCTACAGGACGGACACTAAAACATGCCCCGTGAGCAATCCCAATTTTTCTTGAGATCCAAGTTGACCTTAGAATAATTAATGTTCACTTATCTCCATTGAAATTTGAAAAATAATAAAATGATTTCCAATCTAAATCTCCAATAGACTATGAATCAAACAATTGACACTATAGAATTGTCAATTAACGATCGAGTAAATGTTTCTGAATTTCATAAAAGGATTTTCAATTAGCCAAATAATCGTCACCCAATAATCGCCCAATAATCTTCTGAACTCAACTATTGATTGATGAAGTGATTCGCAATTTCAATATTTAATCGATGATTAATTTCATAATTAAAAAATTGACGAGTGATATTAACAATTGTCTCATTCAAAATGTAACTTCAATTAAGATTCATGATTATGCCGATGTGGGATATAAATTTCTGAATATTCACTCATTCAATATTTTTCCCCGTTCGCCTCACAGGCCCCGGTACACCGAAGAGGAGGATCGAGTTCTCATTCAGTATCTCATCGACAATGATGCTATTCATCGGGCGGGGAGTGAAAAAGTTTGGGAGGAATGCATGGAGAAATGCAAGGTATGTCCGCACCTCAGGGATTCTGAGGTGTGAGGTGCACCGTCAGATAAAGTTATTTTACTAAGATATTTTCCATAGAATTTCGTCGGCAAAATTTAAAAAAAAATTTTTTCATTCTATTTTTCTTTCTTTTCGATTAGAGCTCCGTACTCGAGGGGTTAAAAATTCTATTACCGTTTTCTCAATATTTCTGAATTCCAGGAATTATTGCATCCATTCAGGACGGCCCCGAAGCTGCGCAGCTATTTCAAACAGAAGCTTCGTACCAAATATGCAAAATATACTGATGACCCAGAGGCACTGAAAATGTTCGAGGGATTAGAAAAAAAGAGAAAGAGGAGAACCAGAAGTAATAAAGGAGACAATCTCTATTGAACGAATATTATCAAATGTAAAATTCCACGAAGTGCGTGAATAATTTAATTTAAAAAATGACACTGACTTTTCATCATTAAGCAATGTGTACGTACTTTATACCTTCTCGATAGTTTTATTATAATTAATTTGTGTATTCTATGTGGATCATCGAGACATCCTTGTTTGTTTTTTATGCAGAAAAAATCCCATGAATTTTAATTATTGTAATGAGGTGACGAAAAAAATTGCCTTCTTCAGTTTAATTGCTAATCATGTAAAATTAATATTTAATAACGAATAAAAAATGGTAATTATTGAATTGGAACAGTTGTCAATGGAGGTTTTCTTTTTCCTGATTTTCATCTGGCAACGCTTTCATGTTGGGAAAAACTGTCAAGTGACTCAACGAGAAATTTTTTTCTATTAACCCTCGATCACTCGCGACAGAGACTCACCCGCATCGGGCGGCGCGGCGCCGCTTTTTTGTCCGTTCGACGTTTCTTTTCTTTTTTTAGCTAAATAAATTTCCCGAGAAACAAACGGATAACGCCAACGCTTCATAAAAGGATTGAACTAGGAACTCTAATTTTTCAGTATTTTTAAGCGTCGAGAAACACTAAAATATGAAAAAACGAAAACGGGCGAGTGATCGAGGGTTGAAAATGTGACAATGGCCAAAGGAAGGAAAATATTCTGAAAACCCCGACAATAAAATGTTGAATTTCGATTATTTATGTGACGGAAATTCGGTCTAGAGCTATAGAAGAATCTATAGAAAACATCTCACTAGAATAAGTTGTCCAGACAGAAAAAAAATAAATAAAAACCTCAAATATTCAAAAAATATTTGAAATATTCTCAATTAGAAATTCAACCCAAATCCAATACAGAATTATTTGCCCACTGCGAACGATTTTCTATTACATTTGCGAGTATGTCACCTGAATATCAATTATCTTTTGCTGGTGAAGAATGAAAACACAAACAAATCTTCCGAATCACAATAGACTAGCACGGGCGAATTATTTCGCTGCTAGAGTATCGTGTTAGTGACCGCGCATACCCCGACGGTGCTACATCGCTACAAACCTAACGTTTAGCAGTAGAAAAATTAATAGAAATCGGTTAGAAAAAGTTTAATTTAATTCTGATTAATTTACGATTGGTGGGGCATGGGTAAGATCAAGTGACTTTCCGTCTTCGTTCCCCGGGAAATAAAAGGATTCCCTGTGGGTCTCACGTCTTGTCTGTTTACATACGGGGCTGGACTACTAGGTACGTCCCGTACGGCCTTCTGTGTTTCATCTTCGATGAAACCTTCAGTTTTACGAGGTGAAGCGTTATTCGTCGTGAAACAGCCCTATAATAACGGATTCTTCGACGTTAATTAAAAAATTCATGCGCAAATGTTACCTTGCTTGCATTATTTCTCTGAAATTATCTCGTGAATAGGATATTATTTTCGTATTTCCACTACACCGAGAGAATAAATCAGCTCTGCCGATGAACTGTGTGTTCCACGTGAGAATATTTGATGGAGTAGAATAAATTTACTTGAGGGAAGTTAACTTGATAGAAGTAGATTCAACATCTATTACAAAAATTAAATTTTTGTCGAGTGTTCATCAGCTCACAATTTTTGCTGTTCGTTTGTAAAAAATTGGGTTACAAAAATTGAAAATCTGTCCTTCGCCTCAATTTTTTCCCTTGATTTCATCTAAAAATTTCATTTAAAAAAAGATCGGTGGTAATCTTTATTCGAAATTTTCCCTCCGTGTAGGAAAATGGAAAACTCAGGCCATTTCATGAGTTCAAAATGGTTCAATACGAAGTTATTTACCATAAACGGAGCGCCACTGAAATTTTATTTGGATGGATATAGTGTGAGTGAGTTCTACGAGATCGTTAAAATAATCAAAGTAAGTTTTTACTTTAGTTCATCTTCCAACGTGATTAGTAAGCTCATTCAAGAGTGAAGTGGTGAAATGTAAAAAGTATAACGTAAGAAGCCTAAAATAATAAAGACTGAATGGTTTGAAATAAATAAAAATTTGATAGGAAAAAGTCAATATATTTTGAATTTCTGTTCGAATTTTCCTCGTCAAATTTTTTCTCTTAGAATTATTGGGCACAAATATTCCAAGTTTTTCCACTGGATTTTGTTCTGTTTTGCGTCACAGAATCCGAGGGAAAAAAACTTAGAACTCCTCTTACGCTTTCCCACTTCACTCTTCACTTAATCATTTTACAAACATTATAATTACGAAGTACCTTTCACCTTCAGGCATACGGAGGGGAATTATCGAAGCCTGGAGCCCCAGATACCTTCGTTTTTTGCGACCCGGATCGTCTAGTCGGAGCGGGAAAATACGATAACTACGATATTAACTTCTTTTACGACAGCATAGCTGCCCTCCAGCCCCAGGAGTTGATAAACTACAAGTGCCCTCACATATTTCATTATTTTCTATGAATAATAATAATTAACATTTTACAAATATTGTTCTTTACTCGCCTCCCCACCTCTAGGCTCCAGGTGTTCCAAAAACAAGGGACTACGAGCGTCACGAATCGCGATAGACCAACCCATTCAGAAAACGAAGAAGAAAACTACAACGATTCTGAAGAGTCAATGGATTTCATGTAATTTCACGCAAAATAATCAATTTCCATTCTATTTGAGTCCTTCATCTTTTAAATACTCTTCCCTTCATAGGCTTCGCATCTCCACAGATGAAGAGACAGATTTCGTGGACGACGACAAATCCCTGCAGTTGAACAGCGATGGAGACCACCACGATAAACCTCAAGAATCACTCGACAACACGTAATTGCATTGCAGAAAAGTTAATTGAAAAGTTAATATTTCGCTTTAATTTTCGTTCACTTCTTTCCCTTCTTTTTCCACTTCTAGACTGGATGAAGGGCCCGTAAACCACAGAACTGATGAAGGAATGACAAAGTCAAAAGTTAAAGAAGAGAAAATTCGCAGGAACTCGTGTCCTTCAGGACCTGAAGTTCGGAATAAGCTATCGGCCAAACGAAGATCATACGCAACAGTAGAAGCAGCTGTTTCTCCTCGTAAAACTAGAAGTTCTTTGAAAAATGATGGTCTCAAGGAGAACGGAGTGGCTCAAAACACGAATCCCCGAATTAATGACCAGAATAACAACAATTCTGATGAAGTTAATAGGAGCAGTTGCCAAAATCGTTCGGAGGACGAAGGGGATTCTGATGGCTCAGAAGTCTCACAAACACCTGAGGACAGTGATCCTCCACGAGGTGAATCGAATGAAGGAATTTCACTGAGGGCTCGTCGTTCTTCGACAGTGGGGGATAAAAGGATAGGGCGGTGAGGACAAAAAATAGTTTTTCTCGAAAAAATAGTATAAGTCTTCTTCTCTAAAATATATCACAATTTCCACTGGATTTCACATCACGTAGACGTCCCTTAAAATTATGACTGCACAATCAAAAAAATGAGAAAAAAATTGAACATTTTTATGAACAGTCTTTAGATACTGTAAATTATTGATTCGCAATTTCCTCCCCATGGGGTTTATTTCCCAATATTATTAAAAAATGCTCTATGAAAATGTTCAGTTTTTTCGACGTTTTTTTTATTATACAATCATAATTTTTGAAGACTCCAGGGCTACGGAAAACCGAATGGCAATTGCAGAACATTTCAGATTATCAAAATAAAAAAAAAACAATCCAGATCGCGCTCGAAAGATAATACACACGGGTCTAATGGTTTTTGTTCCGTTGCTAGACGATCAATAGTCACTTTTACGGAAGAGGAGAATGAAGCCATAATACAATGGCTGGTGGATAGAAATGTCATTCCCACAGATACTGGAAAGAAACTCTGGCTGGAGCTTATCGATGAAAAGGTAATCTGTTTTTGCTTCCGAAATTTCTCATAAGGGATCCATCGAATTTCATGAATTTCTTCATGGATGGAGGCTTTAATAAGCTCTCCTCATCGACACCAATTAAAATTCAATTTTCCATACAGATTCGAAAAAATAGATATTTTTCCGAAAACCGATTTTTCAAAAATCACAATATGCTATATATGTTGAAATAATTTCACCTGTGGTTGAGTGATTCAAAAATAAATCGTCATCCCTCAGGTTCTACCAAATCGTCAGCTTACACCCTCGATCCTCCTAGGGCATTTCAAGAGAGAATTGAAGGAGCATCCGACCTTCAAAAAATACAGCAATAATTCACCAAGCGGGGGACGCATTGCCCCTCAACACATGTCGAAGTGAGCAATTTGAATTTTTCTACAGCTACTATTGCCATGTTATAAGATTACTTTTCTAATTCTCAATGTTTTTCGATAAAAGTCGATATACTGAAGAGGAAAATCGAGTTCTTATTCAATATCTCATCGATAACGATTCAGTTCATCGAGCAAAAGGTTTCAGTATTTGGAGGGAATGTTTGAAGGATTGCAAGGTATGTTTATATTTATAATCCCGATTTTTAGGAATTTCCTCCCAATTTCCGTGATATTTTATCTATGTTTATTGAAGAAAAAGTGATGCTAGGAGAAAATGTTGAATGGCCCCAATTGCACTCGCTTTATTCTTCTGTATTTCAGCACTTGCTCAACCCGATGAGAACAGTCAACAGCCTGTGCACTCACTTCAAACAGAAGCTCCGTTACAATTATGCCAAGTACACCGATGACCCTGAGGCACTGGAGATTTTCAAAAAGATAGAACCAAAAAGCAGGGAGTGAAAAAGATGCGAAACATTGAAAAGGCCATTAAAATAATCTCACGATGCTGGTTTTTCTCGTATGAAGAAGAATCTCATCATTATTCTTTCTCTGAAATAAATTTATGATTTTACAGAACTATAATTACAGATCTATAATTAATTCAAGATAATAATTCTTATGCAGTCACAAAATTCAACCAAAGGGTCGTTGTGTATTAAAACTTTATAAGAAAAACCACTTACAGTGGACTTCCCCTGGCTCATAGCGTTCGGGGATCTGATTCCAAGAACTCGAGCTAGGGAATTACCACCTCCACATGCGCAGGGACGTGCTTACGCGAGAGAGACAACGTCATTATCTGAGAGAGAACGCTGTAACATACCAGCCGACGACACACAACGCTTCCCCTCTCGTGCATGAAGTCACTAGTGCGGTGGGGGACACATTCCCCGCCGCTAGGACACGCCCCCCGAGCTACGGATAGTAAGAGCTAAGGGAAGTCCACTGTATATGGCGAAATTTCTGCTTGTTAGCTTCAACTTTAGCCCTTTCATCTGGGCATCTCCGATTGTTTTCAAACATTGTTCATTTTCCAAACAATTCCTTAGAAACAAGTCTTTATAATTAATAAACTTATCCTCGTGTGTTCAAGGTAGATCGTATATTCAATCAACAAATTATAAATTTTATTCCTCGATGATATTTCTATGAATTGAGTTTTTTCACATGAAGGTACAAACCCCCTTCGGAATGAATCATCAAACCTTTTCTGGTCAACACCATTGGAATTGGAGTCCTGTCGCAGGGGGAGAACTCGTAGTGTCGTAACATCTCGATGAGTCCCAATTTGGATTGAAGTAACCCTAGTCTCTGACCTGTTGACAAAAGACAATTCCTCTAGACTAACTATTCTTCCACAAATAAATCGGAAGTGGTAAAACAGTTTAAGTCGACTCATTTCGCAGTTGAGTTTTCGAAGAATATTTCCGAATCCAAGAGAGATAGCGCAATTTTCGTAATGACATTTGTTGTAGCTCTTAACCGGCTCTACAAAAAAGATTATTACAAAAATTTGACTATCTTCCGTAGATTCCGAGATATTCGTTGAAAACTGGCCAATAGTAACAATTGACTTGTACCGTTTTACCACTTCGCTACTGATATATTCCTGTTTTGTAATTACCAATGCAACTGTGTGGACCATCACCGAATGGATACCACGCCCTCTTGGTCGATTTCTTGTTAACGTCTGAGAATCGCTCAGGATTGAATTTATCTGGATCTTCGTGGTATTTAGGATCATAATGCAGGCCCGTTAACGGTATGTAAACGGGTGTTCCTTTCTCGATGACGAGATCACTCCCAGGAACTCGATAATCTGAATCCGCAATTCGATCCAGTATCGGTAATGTCGGGTATTTACGAAGAGTCTCTGACACCACCATGTCCAAGTAGGGAAGCCCCATGATCTGCGATAATTAATAAACACTGGAATAATTGATGCGATCGCTGCTGCAATTAATGGATTTTTGAAAGACTAAACCCTGAAAAGTACCAGCTCATAAGTGATTCTACCGCCATTTTCTTCTATGGCATCGGTAATTTCTCTTCTGAGACGATTCTGCATTTCCGGTTGAAGAGCCAATTCGTAGAGGGAAAAACTTATGGCAGTGGAGGATGTTTCGAAGCCTCCTACGAAGAATATCGCTGCTTGAGCGACAATATTGTCGCCCGCGAATTCTAAAAATTAAATGGGAATTGCAATCCGTTGATTCAATTGTTCGAGAAATGAATAAATCAGTGAATGACTGTCTCACCGAAGATTTTTTTATCCGCCTCATCAGCCTCCTGATTCTTCAATTCAACCAGAAGATCAATGAGATCGGGTCTTTTGAATCCAATTTTCTCGCGTTCGTTGATAGTATCCCAAATGACAGTGCGCATAAATTGACCAAATCTTTGCGGAAATAGACGGAATCTCATCGGTGTCGATAGAAAAGGGGCAAAAAACATCGAGCTCAGCTCGATGCTGCGATAAAAAGTATCTCTAAACATTTCATTTCCTTTTTCCCAAAACTCGGCGGTAGGATTGTTCAGTGAGTTAGCTTGCAATCCGAACGCCGTTGTTGCAATCATGTCAGTTGCGTATCGTGAACAGATTTCTTTGATTTCAACTATTCGTCCGGGCTCTAAACACATGCACAAAAATTATTATGAGAAAATTCTTGCAAAATGAGTAATCATTTTTTTTCGACACTCTTGTGAGGGGCTATTCACAGGCGTAATCGTGGTGTCACTCGCTGATGTAATCACTTGTAATCCCAGTGAAATCAATGTAATCATTGTAATCACATGATGACCATATTTGTAATCAAGTTTTGGTAATCAAGTGGTAATCATTTTTAATCACTGTAATTATTTGTAATCTTTCGTAGTTGCTCCTTGTGAGACCGTGAATTTTGTTTTTGAATTTTCGCGCGCGTTGTTTCTACCAATGGTAAGTCTCAGAGATCCCTGGATCAATTTTTCTTGGAATCCCAGATCTTTATGGTTCAGAACCTTGCATAGCCAATGCGTTTTGCACCGAACATTTGTCTGTAGAAAATTGATTCAACAGAGTTAAAATTTCTTCTTATTCTGGAGAATCAACGACTGAATTATCTCGGAATTATCTGCTGGAGTGATGGAGACTGCATTACTCTGTTCTAATCCCCGCTCCTCCTTCCTCATTTCTTTGCAGGTTCTAATAATTAATTATTCCATGAATTCATATTTAATAAGAGACCATTCTTAGTGATTTCAATGATTACAGATGTTTGGTAATCACAGAATGTAATCGACGAAATCATTTGTGATCATTTGTTATCCCATAGGCAATGGTAATCAGTGTAATCAGTCCCGTAATCCTGGATAATCTATTACATTTTGTAATCGCGGTGTCACCAAATTCGTCTGTGAAAAGTCCCTCGCATTCTCGTCATTCAGAAGACTTCACTCTCGACTCTACCTTTCAAATCCAGGAGCTCCATGTGAGTAGCGAGCCCCTGTCCCACTTCCGCCAGGAGTTTCACCATGTCCTTCAACCTCTTGGATGTGTAAATCGGTGATATTTTCGTTCGGAGGAGTTTCCAGCCGGGATGCTTCAGTAAAAATAAATTGGCCGTTCCCAAAATATCATGAACACTTGCGCTGGCGTATCGATCTTTGAAGTAATCGAAGTCCTTTATGAAAATCCGCTTAATCAGCTCGGGATCACGAATCATCAGCATCGGTTTATCGAACCCGAAGAATCCGACGTAGGGTTCATCGGGTGCATAATCATAAATTTCCTTTGAAAACCTTCCGACTGATGTTCTCCCCACCATAAATTTCGCCAAGCCGCCGAAAATGGGAGACGGTGGAACGAAAACGACTCCCCGGTTTTTCCAGTAATCGAAATTTCTTATCATGTAGCGATAGATCAAGTAAATAATGAGGAGTACTAGGGTAGCTGCTTCCAGCAGCCAATTGTTCCACAACAACGACATCATTCTCGGTTTTTATAATCTCATTGACCCGTCACTGGACTTTCTGGATTCACAGAATTATTAACAAAGTACAAAGTACATTACACGACCGCTGCTGCACGCGCACTAAGTTTGTGCGGAGAAAGCGGGTCACTTCGAGGCAAGAGATTGCGCTTTTCTCATTTTTTATATCCTCAACATTATTACTGGTGGGCGAGTGTGAACATGAAAGGTTAAAGATAAAATGATAAAGACGTATTTTTGCGTCAAAACATGTCATGCCTTCACCGAGTGAAAGCATTCCTCACATTTCAGTAAAACGTGTTGCATTCCCGAATAACGCATTTGATAAAATGATAAGTGCCAATTATAGCTGCAACACGTGATGTTTTCGCGGAAAGAATCGTAAGATATTTTACGATTGAAAAAAATTTATTGAATATTTTCCGTTAGCTGCAATAATTGGTAACAATTTAAATAAAAAACAAATTAAAAATTTCAATTTAATTTCATTTATGTATTTATTTAATTTAATTCTCTAGACAATTCTGTTGGATCTCTGTTGAACAATTTATTTAGTCAATGTTATTTTCTTTTCAACTGAGTTACGCAATGGGAAAGGTAACCTGTGTGAATAACTGAACATTTTTACTGTAGACGGGTCTTCACCTTCAGATTTGAATGGCCTAGGGAATTTTCGTCAGTAACAATCTTGTCAGTAACTTGACCCTGGCGGTATTTGACCCCCACCCGGCACAGGATTTACGATCCATCTGTGGATCTTGTCCATAACCTCCGCGTTTTTGGATCAAGACCGGGCAGTCGTCAGTGACCAAATGCTACATTAGTTTCTCGCATGTAAAATAAAAAAATACACGAAACTTTTCCCTCGTTCGTTCCAACAATTTGTTTAATAAGAAGTACAAAGAATGATGAGTCTTTCGGAGATGCATGGATACCACAAGGAAACGGGTAACCCAGGACGCAGTTACTGGAGTTCAATGTGGTTCAACAGTCAATTATTCACTGTAAACGGAGGCCCATTGAAATTTCATTTGGCCGGATACAGTTTTACTGAGTTCCACAAGATGGTTCAGATAATCGAAGCTTATGGAGGGAGTTTGTCAAGGCCTGATGCCTCAGACACATTCATTTTCTGCGAGCCAGATCGTCGAGCTGTGGCAGAAAAACACGATCGTTACGACGTCAAATATTTTTACGACAGCATCGTAGCACTTGAGCCCCAGGAATTGATGAAGTATAAGCTTCAGGTCCCCACAAATGATCACGTTGTGAGTGATACCGATGGATCAAGCTATTCAGAAAGCGATGAAGAAACCCATGACGAGACCCAGGAATCAATGGATTACGAAGTTGAGACCCCAATCGATCCCTCCCCAGCCTGCAAAGACGCTGAGAAATCCACAGCTTCACAACATAATGTAACCGATCCTGAACAGAAGAACAACCTCACGAGCAATGATTGCGTTGACTTGTGCTCGTCAGACCGTGAAGACCTGAATGAACAGGGAGATGGGTCAAATCGATGCCCCAGATCAGAGGCTGAAGTTGATGCTTGTGTTCCGCAGAGTCTCTCAGATGTTGATCGTCTGAATGAGAGCACTATGCCGGGCCCCAGCACAACCCCTCAAACTAATCATCAACGTAATGATAATTACGATGAAGTTAATGAGAACGCCTCAGCAGCATCCAACGCAACTGATGATGATGGCCCTTCGAAACGTTACAATGCTTATTACAGAGATGATGAATTCATCCCGCCGGAAAGCATTCGCAAACACTACAGGAAAAAGCAGTAAGAATGATGAGAATTATTCATCATACACCACAGTGCATATTTCGCAAATAATTGGTTATGCATCTGTTCTAGATATAACACGAGTCAGAAGTTCTCTGAAGAGGACAACCAGGTAATACTAAATTGGCTGAAGGAGAGGAACGTCATGCCTATGTATGGGAGGAAGATCTGGAAGGAGTTCGTACGTGAAAAGGTATATCTATGATAGATTGTATGAGTAGAGTAAATCAGATGAGTGGACGAAGTGTGAATAGATTGGAAATAACTCAGGAAATTCATGTCGAGGAATTCCTGTAGGAAATGTCTCAGTAGAAAAAGTTTAAAAAGATAAAGTTTTACGGATTTTTTAAATAAATGTTTGGAAATTTCTATTCAACAAACAGTCAAGCTGCGGAATTATTCAATACAATCGACAAAAACTATAATATAATGTTCAATAGGAATTGAATAAAAATTCAATAAAATTTTCTATCGAATTGGCTAGATTTTTTCATGAAATATTTCGGTGCGTGCACACGAATAATGTAAAAACATCTCAATTTCCTTCAACGTTTATTTTTGAGGTTTTGGGAGACCGTGATATATCTCCGGACACTCTCCGAGGACATTACATCAGAAAATTACAGAAGCATCCGACCTACGTGAAGTACCTCGAGGATTGGAAGACTTCAGGAAGCACACTAGCACCCGCATATATGAAACGGTAAATAATTGTAGTTTTCTGTCGGCTCGAATTTATGAAATGGTCCTTTCTTTCATTCAACAGTCCGGCATATACGGAAGAGGAGGATCGAGCCATCATCAAGTATCTCATTGACAACAATATCATTCATCGAGGGAAGAACATTAAAACTTGGGTTGATTGTTTACGAGAATGCAAGGTATGTAGTCATTCCGTTGTTTTTCTACTCCGACAAAGCGGAATTTTACGTGAAATTAGAGACATAAGATTGCAAAGAAAATAACATTTATATTCAATAATTATTTCAATTAATTATTGAATTAATTCATTTAATAATTATTCAATTTATATTCAATATCGTTCTCTGTAGAATAATTGTGCGAGAAAATTTTAGTAGCTGGGGGAAATTGAAGTGGCGCGGCTAGAGTGGGCTTTCATAAATGGGGGAATCCCACACAAAACTTCACTCCGTGCGATTCCGGAATCGCCGCGCGCAGCAGCAATATTGCAAGTTGCAACTCCCTGCTTCAAACTTGTGTGAAGCCTGAACACTACTACACAATGTAGAGCGCAGCAATTTTTTACTGATTTTTTATTGATTTACAAATATATTCAAACGACAAACAAGTCCGAAATTGCTCTTGTATTGCACATAGTATAATTATTTTTGCTAACAGAACATTTTTTAGTTATCGTGGGTCAACCGATTTTCGAGAAAATTCGGAAATGAAAAAAACTAATCGATGAATTAAAATTTAATTAATGGCAATCTATGAAAATGGCAATTGAAGGAAAAAATTCCAATATCTCTGCATTCCAGTCATCGCTGCATCCAACAAGGACAGCCGGCGGCTTACAGCTGCATTTCAAGATCTCTCTTTCCATAAAATATGCGAAGTATACTGCGGACCCATCGGCCCTGAAGAAGTTCGAGAGAATGGACCCATCAAAAAACGTGAAACCCCAAAATCCCGAGAAGATCAATCCCATTTAAATCAGAATCACCCCGGGGGAATCACTCACAAAAAAAACTCCACAATTTCACGTGATGTCCAATTTATTTAATCGTTCAAAACACCACGTTTCAATGGTTACAATTCATATATATTCACTCTTATTGACGTATTATCCACTGAATTCTACGCCTGATATCACTATAAATAATTTATACATTTTATGTACATCATCGAGACACATAATGCTTGTTCTTTATCTTTATATACAAAAAAATCATCTCACTCAATTCTTCATGTTCGATTACACTACTGTTTACATAATAAAAAATGCCAAAAAGTGATATAATCTCATAATTATATCCAACATTTCATAATGCAGAGAAAGATTATGTGGTGGCAACGGTTGTCAACTGTGAGTTATTCTGTGGCAGAAATTTGACATTGATCATTGACAGATCAATCATTTTACGCTGATACTTTTTGTGAAAGACCATTGCCGCTGAGTGAGTCTTAAACACGATTGTTGCTGTTCCCTCGCCCATGATAATGCTCTATAACATCATAAATTAGACCCAATGATATTAATTATCTTCTACGCAATTATTTGCACTAATTATATACACGTAATTACAATCCACATATAATTAGTCTATTATTAACATTAATTTATCATGCATAAGAATAAAAAATACAAAACAGTAAACAAGCAAAGACGAAAAAAAATTCCTGAAGGTATTAACAACTCTCAGTTAATTGCTATAGATGTGTCTTAATTGAAAAATAATAGATGTTATTTGTAGGCATCGATAATGCAAGAAACGAAAAATATTCTAAAACCTAGAATAAAAGTGGAAAGCCAATGTTTTTTTCTTATAACTTCTTAATTGATGAATACGTGTTTCAACGAAAGAATGATACATTTATTATTTATATACATGGATCAATAAAAAATTGAACAAGAAAAATAGTTAAATTAAGTAAGGAGATGAAGTAAAAAGCTTGGTAACAATTTTCCAATTGATTAGTTCATTAATTAATCAAAAAATATTGATATTCATTTCATTTACAAGTTCATTAATCTATTACTTATATACAATAGTCATCAGTTTTCGTAATAATTCTTTGATCAATTAATGAATTAATCAGCAGATTCCATCAGCAGTTCAGCAGAAGAATGATTTTATTATTTACGTATATTAACCATGCATGAAAAAGCACTGCGAAAGGATGAAACGAGAAGACAAAAGCATTGTAAAATTTTTTTATCCGAACATTACAATTTGAACAGAAGTATTTTGAAAAATAAAATGATGAGAAAAAGCGAAAAGTTTTGTAACAATTTCATGATTAATTAATCAATTAAACAGTAGATTCCAATGAGCATTTTAACAGAATAACGAGGAACTTATTTCATACATCAATCATGCATGAAAAAGTATCCTAACAATTCTTAAATTATTCATTTCAATTGAAAATAATCACCTCTAGAGTTCCAATTCCCTGGCACATGCGGCGAATTTGCGCTTCTGAAGTGCTTGCTGCTAAATTCTCAATCAAAATAGTGTTTGATTTTCCCTCAGCTAGTCTCTTCACCTGCACCGGCTTCTGGAGAACAACTCTATTACTCTGGACAGTCCCTGGAGCTTTCTTGATAGTTCCTGCTGCAACTTCAGATACAACAACTTTCCTAATTGTCGTAGGTCTCTCCTTGACGACAGTTCTGCCTCCACCAGCAGCAGTCTTCTGAAGCTGAAGAGGTCCTTTCTTCGTCAAAGTCTCTGCTGATGGGCTCTGAGGATTGCTCTGGGCCTTCTGGAGGTTCGAGACTGTCTTCTGAATGGACGTCGCCACTCGTGCATTGGGCAATTGCTTCTGAATAACTACTCTCCGAGTTGGAACTGGTTTTTTCACTTCTCGTGGATTTACTGAATCCTTTGAGGGCTGATTATCGGGGGCTATTTTCTCAGACACTGTCCTCACTATCCTCACTGGCTTCTCAACCTATAAAAAAATTTTTTTGTCATGAAATAGAGGTTTTTTAATTGAATAAAACAAATCTCAATTGTTTACTGCTTTATTAATAGAGGAAATAAATTACAAAAAATGAAAATCAGCTCTTTCGGTTATAAATAATTGAATTATTTTTATTCATGTCATTCCAGCATTCATTTTTTTTCATTCAACATTAAAACTAGAGAGATCATTGATTAACAATTGAGACAACAAGTAAAATGAGAAATTGTTTCATTACAATTGATGGATTAATGAGTTCAAAGTACTATTTCAAGTAGATCTGTAAGCGTTAATGGATCATTAGAGTTATTGAAAAATTCATCATCTCAATGTTGAATTATTGAAATTATAAATTATTTATTAAAAGTATTCAGATCAACGGTTGATTTCTGAGATTATTCTGCGCACACATTATTTTAATCATCAGTTATTAAGTCGTTCAGGCACATAATTCAGTCATTAAAATTATTTATTAAAATGTTCTAGGAGAATTTTGATCAAGGTACCTCTGTAGCTTGTCCAGCTGCGACACGAATTCTCGGTCTAGCAGTTACAGTGGTTTCTGAGAGATCTTTTGAGAGTGTTGCTATCGATGATGTGCTCTCCTGTTGATGATCTGGAAGAATTCATTAATTTGATTGAAGCTAAATTTTTTTATTTGTTGGCTCCATGATCGTCACAATTTACCAAGAAAAAATGTCAGTGTATGGTCAGTCATTAATATGGTGGAGTAAGGGGTAATTAAAAATTACCATTGTTCTTAAGCTCCTTGGAATCTTCTCCTTGTCTCTCCAGTGCTGCTTGCTTCCTTCGATTCTCCTTTTCTTGGAGAATTTTCTCACGCAAACGCTTCTGCTCCTCCATTTTTTTCCGGTACTCACGCTCCTCCGGATCCATCTCTGCCTCCTGTTAATTAAGGAAATGATAATTAGTGTTTGGAGATCTTGAGGATGATTTCAGTGGAATGAATGGATGTGTAATTTGTAATTTGTGGAAAATGGTGAGAACATTTTTTATAGAAAATTCAGTCACAAAAGTGAATTTGAAGTTTTTTCGTGTAATTACTAATTTAAAAAATACCTCATTAACGAAAACTTAGTAATCAACGTATATTTTTCATCTATTTTAATTCAATCAATTATCTCAATAATGAGGAGTGGTAGGTGAGCATGACAATGTTTTGTATGACTTTTTATTGTATAATTTAAGGTCCATTCTTGTTAATTAATTTCATAATTGTCATTATGCCGATGAATTTTTTGTAGGCAATAAAATTTTCTACGCAAAAGTTCCCCTGAAATTCTCTCTTAACATCACTTTGTCCCACGACGAATGCAAAATTATTGTATTTTTCACATTTGACTGAATGAAAAAAATGTATTTTCACCTGAACATCTTTGTGGTGATCACTGGGCTCTGTACGTGTGTCATGAGGACTTCTGTGTGCTCTCATTCTTTTGGGACTGACATCTCGTCCCCTGTCCTGAGGCTCTGGAGTCCGTTTCTGGCCAAGTCTGGGGGCTGGACGACTGGATGAATTCGGTGGTCTCGATCTCTGATCGTAAGAGTCATTGTGATAGCTATTACTTGGTGGAGGGGGTCGAGACCTGGGTGGAGGATCTCGCGATCGTGGAGGTGGACTTCTGTCTCTGTATCTTTGATCCTGAAATGAACAAGGGAACAGGCGGAATAATTAAGAAACTTATGGCACAGATAACTTAAACCATAATTAGATCAAAGAAGAATGAAACTTACATCGGGATAAGGATCTCTACTATCAGATTTATATTTATCATAATCTCTGTAGCTGCTATCACGTCCGTAGTTACTCTCCCCAGAATAACTCTTCGAGGGGCTCAAACTTCTCGGCTTTGCCTTGTTCTCTTGCCATACGTCTGAGAAATATGCGTATGGATCCTAAATAAGAAATTTTAAATCGATTAATACTCGATGGAATAAATTTAAGGGCTCAACAGAGAATTTGAGAAACTTACATCACTCTTGTTCTGAGCATAATTCTTCTGATAATCTTGTGAGTTTTCTTGATTTGTGGGGGCATTGAACGGTGGCTGGCCAGGATATGGGCCGGGATTCGGTCTAAATTGTTCACTTGGGTGGGGGTGAACGACTGGAGGTTGTTGAGGATTGTCCCAAGGAGGTCTTCCTACGAGAATAAACAACAACAAATACGGTGAATTTAAAAAACTATCCAAGTATCTATGTAATTGTATAAAAACGGAGATAAAATTTCGATTATTAACAAAGGAATCATTTGAACACCAATTATTATAGAAAATTTTCTCGAGGAAATTCAATTCCCGAGATAAAAATCCCTCGATCTTCGGGAACCTCCCATTCCCAAAAAATCTCAAAATCAAACGAAAAATCTTTTTTAACAGAAGTCTAAATCAATTCAGTAGCGAAGTGGTAAACCGGTACAACTCACTTTTGACTATTGTCCATTTTTCAATGAATATCTCGTTATCTGACGGAGCTAGCAAAATTTTTGTTATAACCTTTTTTGAAGCTCTCAATTCGCCCTACAAAAAAAGTTATTACAAAAATTTCGCTATCTCCCTTAGATTCGGAAATATTATCCAAAAACTCAACTGGGAGAAAAAAAAAGCCAAAATGAAGAAAACTCTACCTTCACTCGTCTGCTGGGAATTTCCCCTGAAGTGTGGATTAATCAGGATCTTCTGAGGTATCTGAACACTGGGCACGGGATGCTGTTGATGCACCACCCCAGGGTTGAACTGTCCAACCGGTTGGCTGTTGTTGTACGCAGATCTCCCATCGTACATGTTCCTGGCCTCCCAGGGTGGCTCCTGGAACTGCTGACGAGGCTCGAAGCCAGGCTGCCCCCCCATGGGCACACTCTGATGGGGATGAGGAGCCTGATGAGGGATCTGGCTGGGTCCTGGGTGTCTGAAAGGCGGCATGGGCCCCTCGGGCTGTCCTGGTGGCATTCCTGGATGAGGTGGGTGCATTGGGGGGCCCTGGCTCCCCGGCATAGGGGGTCCAGGCTGCATGTTGGCCATCATTGGACCTGGGGGCATCATCTGACGTCCTGGCATGTCCTGCTCGTGCTGGGGCCTTGGGAAGTGCTGGTTGGGCATGAATCCTGGATTCATTGGGCCATTAAATCTTGGAGTAAGCCCTCCTGGCATTGGACCTCGTGGTCTGAAGTCCATTGGGGGATTCTGGTGACGTGGAGGACCTTGGAACTGATTTGGATTGAACTGATGGGGCTCGTTGAAGTGGGGACGAGGCGCTCGGGGATACTGCTGAAACTGATTCTCCTGGGGATACATCATCTGCGGGTTCATTATGTTCGATGGACCGTTCTGGAAGTGCCGGTTGTCTTGCAGGGGAGGTCTGTACTGCGGCTTTTGCTCGTCGAACGAGGGCCGAGGTATGAATCTGAAAAAAAGATTTTTTTACATTAAATTGTTTAGAGCATTAATAACGATAGTTTTTGCTAAATATCTCTGAAAATAGGGGAGATAAGGCAATCCTCAATTCAACCTTTTTTGAAGAGAATTTTGAGGGCTACAAGAAATGTCTTGTGACATTTTCACTTATACCCCTTTCTTTCCGAGATATTTCCAAAAATAAACTGATAGAAAAAAAATCAATGACGAAACCAGACTGTTAAATAGAGAAAGTATTTTTTAATGAAATGAAAAGTCCAGCAAAAAAGTGTCATGAAATTTTCTCTCATGTCCAAATACTTCCCAATGTAACCAAAAATAATTGCTTAAATCATAAATCAAAATGCATAAAACGTGATAGTGCCATACCTTGGATTATAATTCCCCACATTCATCGGATATCTTCCGCCCCTGATGCCCCTCATCATCCCTCGTCCCCTTCCCCTACCCCGGAACACCGGCCTACTCTGTTCAGCAGTGACAACACTCTCCAGTGAATCCGGAATGTCACTATTCATCTTCGGTGATATCATGATCCTCTCAGTTTGAAATCTATTCCGCCTCTCCCTGGCCTCCTCGCACTCATCCTCCTCCACAATCTGTCCATTTCCACCGATGTCCCTCTTCTGCAGCTTCTCCCTCAAGTCCCCCAATCCCAAATTCATCTGATTTTTCTCATCGTAATTACACCGACGTTCGTCGTAATAATTTCCACGATTATCAACACGTTCGTCATTATAATGACTTTGGTTATGGCTATCAGTCTCGTTCCTATACTCGACATTATCATCTTCACCCTCTAAATCGTCGAGGGCATCGGTCACTCCTAAATCCAGCACATCGTCTGTTTCCTCTTCTCCCTTATAGCTATTCTGCTGCTCGAGAATTAAATATGCCAAATTTTTTTCATGAATTATCATACTCTCCTCCTCCTCTTGATTTATTATTGTAACATTTTTTTTCCTCTATTCAATTGCATTAGTCATCCATTTTCATAGATTCTCTTTCGATAATAATCTTAATCTACTTATGTGGTAAAATAAATAGTGAACATATTTGCTAGAGGACAGAAATTAATTTCTCCATTTTTTCTCTTCATTCGTGCTTTCTATTTCCAATGGCTTTTTTCTATAGTTTTCTCTTCACTGATCTCATTATTTTAATTTTTTTGATTTTACATGGGGAGAACGTGTGATGATTCTGTGTCAATGCGATACATCTAACGTGCATTACGCGATGTGCTTGGGTATGAAGGAAATTCTTCGAGACTAGTAATCATTGGGATTTTTTATATAAATTATTTGTCAGTTAACCCATGGGCTATTGGCTATTGGCTTTCGTTATTAAAATTATGAGAATTTAATTCTTCGGTTTTGGTGTTTGTACAGCCGGTGGTTGTTTACAATTTTAATTGCATTGTAGCATTATGTATTTGAGAACATGTGCATTTTACAGATAAATATTAATATTATAGTTGAATGAATGAAGGCATAAAGGCATATAATTTTAAATTATGTCTGGTCGGTAAAAAAAATTAACAAAAATTTTCTATTTGACAGGTTTTGTTTCTGATATTTGGGATAGAATAGATGATGCTACAATGCATTGAATCATCGCAATTACATTCATCGTGAACATACAGTATCAGACAATCGCGTGCACATTTCACTAATCTCCGAAAAAACGATTTTTTTAAGTTTTATTTTTCACTTCGAAAATTGTTTTTAAAAACTTGAAGAATCTCGGAATAAACAGCTTGCAGAATTAACGAATTCAATGGCTGATTGAATGGTTAATTTATCGTCAGAAACAGAGATCGGCAAGAAAACGAGTTCCATTATTAATATTTCATTACAATATCAATGGCTAATGAAAAAAATTGAACTGATTTTTTTTCGTAATGAATAATAAATCGAATGGATTTTTCATTGTGATACTAATGAGAAATGAAAATAAATTTTTCTTTACTGATTGAATGATTACCCTGAAATATTCAAGTGTAATCTCTGACTAGATAAATAACAATTTTTATTTCTAATTTTGACTCGTTGATGCGGTATTTAAAAACGTGAATTTTTCAATATTCATTCATAATATAATGAAAAATATTTACACGTCAATATTAAAATTAATAATTAATAAATATTGGTGGAGATAGTAGATATTTAACTATTATTAAATATTAATAAATATTAATGAATATTTGTGCCGATCTCTGATCAGAAATTGCTGGAGAATGACTGAATGATCAAGAGTCAACAATGAAAGCTATCAATGCTTGTTGAAAAAATAAATCTACAATTATTGAGTTTCACGGCAGACTTAGATGGTAATACAATAGATACAAAGACGCTGTGATAATTGACAGCAGAGGGGAAGAACGAAATATATTCTATTGGATATGATTTTTTCCGCCTGCTGATCGCTTTCCCTTCCTCTGTATTTTTAAATTTTCGCATTTTCGAATTGTCAATTGTCAAAATGTGGATATTCCTTGCAAAAACATGAAGTTATTGTACAGAAGGAATTCTCCATTATTCTCTTGAACGAATTTTCAATTTTTTCTGTGTGATTAATTCACTGATACGTTTTCTCAACTTTGAAGTTGTTTTTTAAATTCGAAATTATCATTTTTATCGATTTTTACAGAATTTGTGGAGAATAGTAGACGAGAGAGGACAACGCCAACATTACACACATACATACGATCCAATTACAGAGAGACGATAAAAAACTTAAAATTACGCATGACTGTTTTATACAAATTGGATAAACGGTTTTACACTTTAATAATCATCATTTTTTTTTTCAATGGGAAAATGGGTGGAGACATTTAGATCTTCGATTGGGGGGAGTAATCCTCAGAAACTGAAAAATTCGCAATTTCGTGAGACAACTTATGACGAAAGAAATGTAGTGATTAACATTGGAATGCTTGTGAGAGGATTTTGAATCGTTGAGGAAAATTTGCGACATGAGGTCTGAGAAATGAGGTGAGGTGTTTACATCTGACTGATTTTTTTCACATTTTTCAACATTTTTTTGATGATTATTTTAATTAAGATTCAGTCCTTGGAATGAGGACTATTTAAATGACTAGCTCACCCTGTCGATTTCATAGTCGTCAGCCAGGAGGGCCTCCTCCTCGTCGTTTCCCAGGTCATACTCTTCGTCGCCGAGGTCTTCGTCCAATAGAGTATCATCTCTGCAACAATGAATTAATGTGTGTTAAATTAAGTTGACAGTACATTGCAGAGGATTTTCTCAGCTACTTAATAGAGACGTCTCCTGGAATTTTTCTCTAGAGCATAAAAATTTTTTGGAAACATCTTTCCAACAATTTTTTGTCATAACTACACTGACAGAAAAACAAACACGTTGTCAAACAAGTGAAATAAAATCGCTTTAACTCTTGAAACGTTGGCTCAACATTTGGCCCAGCATTTTCTCCTAGAACAACTTACGAAATAATTGAATTACAACATTCGCCCTAATAATTCCTCCAAAAACATATCAGGCCTCCGAAAGGGGAGAGCATGACAAAACGAATCACCTCCAATCGTTAATATCTCCTCACCAAACGATGCGATTCCTACGAGTCAAAGCTCATTTCAAGCCTTGCAAAAATACCTCGAAAATGAAAAAAAAATCCCGAAAATTCACTCTGCCGTTTTCGGCTCATCAACCACCAGAGACGACCGTTCTGCCACACTCGCCCCAACACAATCCACATCTAAAACTATTTTATTCCGAAGAGTTCAGTTATTTCACCCAACGATTTTAGGATGAATGAGCTGCGGGTTACTAACAGATATTTCAGGTACTCAAACAACACTTGGCACTGCGTCATTGTCGCCAAACTGCGAGAATCTAACCTCAAACCCCGTCCCCCACCATTTTGCAGTTGTGCGGCGTTCACGACAAAACAATTGACTCAATTCAATCGCAATTCGATAGTTCGTCATTGTTGGGGTGGAATGCAACTCGGAGAAGTGTTGGATGACGGTTTTCAGCGGGGAATAATGAGGAAATATGCACTTACTGATCTGACATTGTCTCCTCCCTGCGACGGCTTGGTCGAATCGATTAATTAACGGCAGTTTCGAGCTTTCTCGTGACGTATTGACCCACATCGAATGGCCGCACAGTTCGATTACTATCGAATGGCCACCGGTGAAGTCCACATGTGCTAACCTGACAAAAACAACAATTCAGAAATAATTAAATTAATTAAAGACTCGACAGTAGAACTAATTCTGAGGAATTGTTAATTTTGCAACAAAATTTTTGTTGAAATAATTTTGTTTTATTCTGTCAACGAGGTTTCATGTGTCGTGAATTAAAGAAATTGAAGAAATGTCGGGCTTGTCGGTGATGAAGAGAAGTCGGTTGTTGCGGGGAAATTGTTTATCCGATTTGTTTAAAAGGGGGAGGGGTAGGCAGTTTGGCGATGGGACATGTGCGAGGATCCTGGGAATCGAGACGAGTTGTGATGATACTGGAATTGCCATTGTGGATGGCGCGGGAAGGATCCTGGGGGACGCGTTGCACTCTCAACAATCGACACATTTGCAGTGTGTTTTTGTCATGATTAAGAATTAATAATTAATAATTAATTAGTAGGGAAGATTACGATTCCTTTGGCGCCGCTATTTGACAGATATTTTCCATACCATTTTTCCCCAGGAATAAGGGAACAATTTGACAATTTGACTTTTTTTAAATGTTAATAAGGAATTGAAATGTTGACAAAATTTAATAATTTTTTTCTCAATTCAAGGAACAACTCTTTCTCTTTGTGACGAGCCTAAACTGAGCTCAATTGATAAATTTGTTTCTGAGTTATGAATAATTTAAAAAAAGTCTAGTGTCCATTTTACCCCATCCTCCCCTACTCAATTTTAATGGAAATTTTTTTGTTGAGATTTTTTTGATTGATTTTTTTTCTGAAAAAATTGCAGCAACAATCGCGAAAATTCAGTCAACAAAATCTACAACAAAAGAATTTTCAGTCAAAAACGCAACCGAGGTGGCACCCTTGTGAACCTCGTGACCCTGGCGACTCCTTTTTTATTATGTGACCCTAGTGACTTCGTGACCTTAGTGACTCCTTGTTCGTCTGATATTGACGACTCAACCAAGTTTTTTTCATCTCACCTTGTCTTCCACTTGATTGAAAACCCGCAAAATAATAGGAATATTCTTTTACTTTTAGCCCTCCACAATTATTTTTCATTTTCCATTTCCAATCAATGCCCGATAGATATGGAGGTATCATTCCCCCAGTGGCACGTGAGCTCCACCGGAAAAACATCACAGACGTCTGTGAGAGAGCCTTGAGAGAAGCGAACTTGAGGGTAAGAGATGTCGATGCTATCGCAGTAACTGTCATGCCTGGTTTAGCCCTCTCCCTGATGATTGGGAGAAGCTTTGGACAGTACCTCTCGAAAATAGGGAATAAACCGTTGATCCCCATTCATCACATGGAGGCACATGCACTGACTGCTAGAATGTCGGAAAAGGTAGAAGAGGAGCACGAAAAACGTGACATTCACTCGCAATCAATTCAACCAAAGTGATAGACGATTTTTTCCTGTTAGAACAGGTAGATTTTCCGTTTTTGGTGCTTCTGATTTCCGGGGGACACTGCATGCTAGCTCTTGTCAAAGATGTGGCGGATTTCTACTTGTTGGGGACTAGTGTGGATGACGCGCCAGGTGAAGCTCTCGACAAGGTAATTTTACAGATAAGTCCTCGGGATTTTTGCAGTTATTTTTGGGCAATCGATTTTTGTAAACAACACGTGAATTGAATTTTAATTAACGATGAACCGGCGATGATATTTTACTGCAGTATAAATTCTGTTCCCTTCAATTAAATATTTGATACCACTATTCACTTTTTTTCAAAATAAAACGCAAGAAATCGACTAATTATCTCCCGTTCCATCACTCGCACGAAAAAAATTACAAAAAAATCTAGCGAATTCGCTGGATCAGTCTATTGGACTTCTATTGAATTTTCTATTCATTCTTGGCCGAATAGAATTCGATTTTTCTATACAACTTATTCTATTGAGTTTTTTTTAAATAAAATTTCTTCGGTTCAAATGTTCTGTTTTTTTGGAAAAAAAGTTTAGAAAATTTCAGCCGAGGAAATGCTATGCAAAACAGCTCAGTAAAATAAGTTCTGCAGAAAAATCGAATTCGTTCGACTTTCGGTACGGAATATTTTCTATTGAACATTTCAATCGAGTCGACCAATAACTAATAGAAATATAATTTAATAGAAATTCAACAGAATTTTCTAGCGAATGGGCCAAGTTTTTCTATGAATTTTTTTTATAAGTGAATTCACGTTTTCAGACAGCAAGAAGATTAAAAATGAGAAATCTCCCTGAGTATGCCGACAAAAACGGCGGAGCTGCGATTGAATTAGCGGCGAGTAAAGCCACAGACCCTTTTCAATTCGAGTTTCCAGCGCCAATGACACACTACAGAGACTGCAGCTTCAGTTTCTCTGGGCTGAAGAATTCTGCGGACCGCATGATATTGAAAATGGAGAGGGGACATGATGTTCTTGGTGACGGAGTCATTCCGGATCTGGAGAACTTCTGCGCTGCATTCCAGCTGTGCGTTGCCAAGCACATTGGGCACAGGACGAAGAGAGCTATGATGTTCTTGGATAGGAGGGAGTTGCTCCCCCAGGACAAAAAAACTTTGGTACTGCATAATTACTCTACACACTTGTGAATATTTCTATTTTTTGAGGCATAAAGCATTGAAGAAGGCATTTTTTTCAATTTTTCGAATCATTTTTTCTCTTAAAAATTCTGAGTTTTTGATTCTCTATTTAAAAAATCCGCAGCTTTACTCTGCGTTTTTTTCTTATAGAAAATATTGACAAAAAATTTTTAAGAGGATCACACTCACTACTTCAGTTGTAATATAAAAAAATGGGAAAAATTAGGGGTTTGATTTTTTTGATGGATCAAACACCAAAAAAAAGAAGTTTTTTAAAAAGCCCCTGGACTCGAGTAAAACATTTATCTGGGGGTAGAAAACATTTTTCGTACCTGCGAAAATTTTCTACAAAAAAAAATGAATTTCGACATGATTGAGGAATTAATTAAAATCAGCATTTCGGACTAGTCAAGCGATAATTCTTAATCTCAGTCAAAAAGTCACGAGAAATGGCCAATAAAATAGCCAATTACTTTTAAAAAATGATAAAATAATTTAAAAACTGTTTCTTGATATAATTAAGTAATCTCTAATGCTCTTGATTATTGATCCCTAGGTTGTGTCAGGTGGTGTCGCCTGCAATAATTTCATAGCGAGGAGTCTCCAAACGATCTGCAGTGAGATGGGCTATCGTTTCGTCCGCCCCCCACCAAAATTCTGCATGGACAACGGGATTATGATCGCCTGGAATGGAATTGAACGGTGGAATGCTGATGTGGGTGTTCTCAGAGACCCTATTGAAATAGAAAAACTCGAATTCCAGTCCAGGGCACCTCTGGGCATCGACTGGACAGATGTTGTTCGAGGGGACGATATTCCTTGCAGAACCATCAGGTCTAAGGAATTATATCCCTGATGAAAATATTCTAGTTCATTTAGAATTTTTACTTATGAAATTATCTGGACAATGAGCGGGTCGAGGAGAAAATATTTATTACTATAATAAATAGTAATGGGATTTTGAAATATAATGTTTTACACATATTTTTGTTAATTATTTTTTGTTAGTTCGGAATTGAGTAGTCACTTGCCTGATAATTATCAGGGGTGAATTTAGCTCATTCGAGTGTAAAAAATTTAAAAATATGAATAATAAGAAAATTGAATTGATTCAGTAGAATTTTTTGTTAAATTAACACAAAAAAAAAACATCAGACTTCTTGTAGAAATTTCTGTTTTTCATAGAGAAATTTTCCTGTTATTCCCTCCTAATATCACTGATTCCTAAAATAATTCCAAAATAAACAAGAAATTTAATCTTTTCAATTCCTGAATCCATCTCTACCAATAAATAATCCCGTGATTGGGAATGATAAATGACCAAAACCACTCAATTTTCCTTACAAAACGACTCATTTAATAATCCAATTGAGCTATGTACAATATTTTCACATTCGAGATAAAGCCATTCAAACAGTTAATGGTAGATGTCGTCTAGATTCTCTCTTAAGTCTTTCGTAGACATCGGCCTCCCTCGGAAGTTCTTCATTCTTCTTCAACTCCTCCTCCGCCTGTTTATCTAGATTAACCCGTATCCTCTCCTTAACGAGTTCGATCTCCTCATCCTTCCCCAAACCCAACGACACAGTGAGAATTTCGTTGAACTGCAGAGGGACCTCTGGCCGAAGTTCGTCAGAAACATTATCGAAAGCTGTTTGGAGGTCGTTCAGAGCTGGCTCGATCTCCTTGAACTTCTTATCGGCCTCTGGGGTGTCCATTTTGTTGATCACCAGCATCGAGTGCATGCTCAGAAGGTCGGGTTTGTAGAGCTCGAGCTCCTTGTTCAAGAGGATAACTGTCTCCAGGCAACTTCGAAACGTTCGCTGGACTGATAGTCGAAATCCCTGGATGTCAACGACGAACACTAGGATTTTACATCTCTCCAAGTGCTTCAGAAACTTGTGGCCCATGCCTACGTTGACGTGGGCGCCTTCGATCAGCCCTGGAAGATCTGCCACTGCGATTTCTCTTATGTCTGGGTACTGAATTATCCCGAGATTCGGTCTTACAGTTGTGACTGAAAGAGAGGAAATTCATTCTATATTATATTTGTTTTCATAAAAAATAATTAATCTATTAATTTTTTAATGATAGAATAAAAATTTTCTGTAGAACTCATTCTGTTGAGATATTTTTTGTAGAAATCCCTCGACCTGAATTTTCTAACTCTTCTCATTGCATTTTTTTCCTACGTGTTGGAGTTATTTTCTGATTTTCTCAGGAACCACTGGATTCAGTTTGAAAGTCAAGAAGCATTTCTAACAATTAAATGCAGATTTTTTTGTCTAAAACGATCGGATTTGATATGAAAAACAATTACAAGGATAATCAGCAACTTTTGGTTTTGCCCTCGAGACACTCCGCAGCAGAGTGCTCTTCCCAGCATTTGGGAAACCCACGAGTGCAGCATCAGCGATCAACTTCAGATCCAGAGTCACAACTCTGTGCTCTCCTTTCTGCCCACTCCAGCCAGTCTCCTCACATCCTCCAGCCCCTCCGTGAGCTATGATCACCTTGGAATCTGGTTTATCGAGGTCTCCTGCCAAATTCACAAAAATTCATTCGTAAAAAAAAGCAATTCTTCCAGTGGGAAAATTTGAAGCTAAAAATATTGTCTTCACCTTTTCACCCGGTACGTAGGGGAGGTCGGGGTAAAACGGACACTTGACTTTTTTTTTAAGTGCTAATGAGGGGTTGAAATGTTGATAAAATTTAATTTTGTTCACAATACAAAGGACAATTCTGTCCCTTTGTGATGAGCCTAAATTGAGCTCAATTGATCAATTTGTTTCTGAGTTATGAATAATTGTAAAAAAGTCTAAAGTGTCCGTTTTACCCCACCCTCACCTAATAATTGAAAAAAGAACGAAAGAATGTTCAGAATATGAAGTTGGCATTCATTGTATAATTATCTGAACTCATTTTAAATAGATAATTTTCATAATTAAACGGCTTAACCAACGAATTAATTGATGAGTTCAATCAACGTTCTACGAAGAATTGTAGGTTTCGTTAAATCACCTAAAACAGCTCCATTGCGATCGAAAATGGTGACCCCCCTAGGTACAGGGATCTCCACGTCCTGTCCCACGACTCCTATGAGTCCCTTGAACGTACTAGGCTCTCCATTTGGAGCAACAATCTTCTTGTTCCTGTATTTTCTCTCGACATCGTACAACGTCTGTCCCTCAGTGGCAATAGCGTAAACATGCCCACCACGTCCTCCCACACCTCCATAACGTGGCAGGCCCATCCCTCCAGTGCCACCACGCACGTACAGCTCCATGGAATCCAGGAAACCCTTCCTCATGTACTTCCTGGGCTTCTGAATGGCATAAAAAACATCCTAATGTATCCTCCACTTTCTTACGTCAATCGTGAGACCCACGTGTGCTATTCTGTACTCACTTTTGCCTGGTAGGCGGCATAACCTAGGAAACGCGTCAAGAACACCATTTTTTTTGGATTTATGCAGAATTTTTCGTCGCTGTAAAACACATAATAGTTCGGTTTAATTGAGTATTTTAAGAGGTGACGGTTTTTTCCAATTGTTACGGCGTAATTGTCTCGATTTTAGTGCAATGTTTATTGGAGGATTCAAACTGGTACGTCGAAATGGGGATTAGCGGGGGGGCTCCGTTTTGTTCATGTAGTATATATTCCAGAAGAATATCCGTAGATTTTTGGAGTGGGGGACACGCATATGAGTGGGAATCACGTAGAGTGGGGGTACCCTGGGAAAGATAATCTTCTACTAGAAGGCCTATATCCCCGAATGTGCAGAGACTTGTGAAAAGTCTAAGGGAACAACTGCACATAAATTGAACTGTACATAAAAAAAACTGCCCATAACCACGTTTGTTCACTATCCTTGCAGTCGGCCAAACAGTATCGGTAGAGTAGAAATAGCATTCGTTTTATTTGCAGTCGATATTAACAATGGATGGCGCCATGTGTCTCACTATAGCGCAAATGATCGTCGCAGATTCGATCAATTAGCCCCTCATGTATAGATATTCCAAATTTTTTTTTTCCTCATTGAAGTAGTTTTGAAGAAAATTGCGAGCTAATAAAAAACATTTGCTAGTTACTACTTTTTTTAAAATAAATTTTTGACAAATCACTCCTGAAAAAAAAGAGGTTATCCCCCCTATTTTATTATTTCCAAAAAAATTTATCACCAATCGATAGCAAATTGTTTGAAGATTTTTGCGAGTTAAGAAAAAATCGTCAATGCA